AGACAGCAAGCTTACAGGAATACAATAGATTCTGAGCAAAATAACAATAGAAAGCAAGAATAAATACAAAAAAATTAACATTAGTAAATAAAGGCAAGGCAATGTTGATCAAACTTATTCGAGGAACAAATTGGTTGAGTTTTGCGGTCAAGTCAAGACTCATCAATCCAACTTTTTACAGGGTTAGGGTTGTTCAATATTCTGTTTGTCCACTAACCAGTTTGGTACATTTGAAGTAGTGAAAAAAACTGGAGCCAAAAGAATTACAAGAACGAGACACAATAAAGATAACACCAAAATAATCATTTTCTATAAAATACTAGCAGAATAGGTTTAGATTTTGCTTTAATTACGTCTGTGGTCTGACCGAACGCAAAACAATTGTTTGAACGTTGGGTTAGGGTTACCCAAAGCCGGGAGAAGGAAAAGGCAGCCTTTTTTTCGAGCAATGAAATAATAAATTTGATAATGTTGGTAGAAGAGCCGGGACACTCTTTTTAGCCGGGATAAAAGAGTACGGCTCTTGATCGAAAATCAGTCCAATGCGGTCGCTGATCACAGATATAACTTACGCCTGAACTAAAAACCTTGTGGGATAACCTAAAGCAATGCAATGGATAGCCTATTTCCTAAAGAAAAAGGCTAAACGTTTTGATGGTTCATATCTAATAATAAAATCAATTTCATCTTTGTTATTAAAATTATTAACCCTTTATCTTATCCACCTAGTTCGGCAAACAACATAGGCTACTCTTCATCGCAATCACCCAACCACTTTCTAAAGCAAATTCGTTTCGTATTCTCTTCTACCATTTGGCTTTTCCATATAAACTTTAACCTTAAATACATCTGATATTTCCTTAACGAAGGATTAAAGAAGTTAACCGGTCAAAATTGGGCAGTTAATTATCTAACGACGGTTTAGTCTAAACTAGCTCTAACGGCGGGTGGTGAAATCCGATTTCGTCAGTTAAGAGTTAACTGCAGTTAGAACATGGTTTAACGGCGGTTTAAGAGTTTGGTGAAATCGGGCCTAAATCTCAGAAATAACTATGCAACAATGCATATCAGCTGATAGAAAATCAAGTTAAGAAAACAAGAATACCAACATATTGAGCTTCTTTTGACATTACAATGTGTCTCACAGTACTTTAATTTTGGGCCGTGTTATAAAAAAAAAACTTTAGTTTTGACACATAATATGTTAACCCACAGGCATACTTAAAAGAAACATCTATGTCTTGCCGCTAATGCGCTCTGGCATTCCTAGATGTAACTGTTCCGTCAGTTCACGCTGCTAGTAATATTATTTAGAAGGATCGCAGCACTTGTCAAGTCCAGAATTTTTTTTCTTTCATTCTACAATAGGTAGTTGTTATGTGTATTTTTAGTCTATTTGGTTGCCTAGCCTGTCTGGGGAGGAAGATAATAAGGTTGCATTTGTATTGGAGGCACGCTTGAGCAAGGTAAATGGTAGCGCATGCTTGCGCAAGCGTGCCATGCCGGTGGTGTAGTTATAATAGTGCAGAGGAAACAAGAACAAGTAGTGGTCGCCCCCACTAGTCTCAGTAGGCCTTACATCACAGATCAGTCAAAATGGAGATGTTAGATGATGAGGACATTGTGCTTGAAAATGAAGTTTTAATTATTAGACTGCGAATGAATTGGGGGGAATGGGAAACTGTAGGGGTCAATGTCATGTTGGTATAATTATTTTATCAAAAACATAATCATACTAATATTATAAATGTGAAAGTTTGTGTGTTTGTTTGTTTGAAGTTCAATCACGCATTAACTACTGGACGGATTGGGCTGAAATTTGGCATGATAGCTCACATTCCCGATTAACATATAGGCATATTCTTATCTCAAAAATCCTTTCGGGCTCCGCCCCAGTTGCTCTGTAGTTCTCCATGTTGACCTTATGAGTATTCATATTTAAGGGGAATTAAAGAATTTAGTGAGCTGTTTCAACCTAAAGTTGGTTCTATGATGCAAAAGCATTAAAAAGTTATAAGATTTGCCAACAGGGTACAGCGCTATTATTTTTTTGCATTTATGACACCAGCTAATTTGAACCAAGCAGCAAAAAAAACAAAAAAAAAACTATGATACACAATGAGAAATGTCAAAGTAGGATTGTTTCCAGATTATGTTTTTAATTTCATGAATAATTTATTGTATTTTGCGTCTTGCGAATTTTTATAATTTATTTTCCTCTTTTGTTTAGGTGAAGTGGTAGAACATCATGGCTATGTTTATGTAAACTGTAAATTTAAAGAAGCAAATTTTATCAAACCGTTCTCCCCCATCGCAAATGCAAAGTATGAGTATAACTGCAATAAGCATTTCATTCTTATATGCCAACTCCGTACGAAGGACGGGTACTCTGCTAGGATTTAATAAAACAGTATTAATTTTAATTAGCCTAGAGGAGCTTGATTTTGAATTGTAGAAAAAGGAGGATAGCAGCTAGCTTACCTTGAAAGTGTAGGTAGGCCATAGAACAAGTAGAAAAACACTGTGTACACAATATTTCGTCCCCTAAGGGACTTTGTCAAGTGTAGAGAAAGAGTTTATAAACTCTCCTTTATAGTGTTTACTAGGCCTCTTCATCTTCTTCCTTCCCTCCACAATTCCTCTTCCTCCACATACTGCCACTGCTTTTTTTTCACATCTCGTCAATCCACCTTCTTCTAGGTCTTTCTCTTGGTCTTCTTCCGTTCATGTGAAGCTCACTCATTTTGCTGGGGATTCTATAATTTTCTTAAGTGGCCAAACCATCTCAATCTTAATTTATCCACTTGTTCTCTCAACATGTCAAGTGTAGAGAAAGAGTTTATAAACTCTCCTTTAACTCTCCTCTATAAACTCTTTCTCTACACTTGACAAAGTCCCTTAGGGGACGAAATATTGTTTACACAGTGTTTTTTCTACTTGTTCTATGGCCTACCCACACTTTCAAGGTAAGCTAGCTGCTATCCTCCTTTTTCTACAATTCAAAATCCTGACCTAGAGACTTTCCTTAAACAAAACTAGAGGAGCTTGAGTTTTTGATCATAATATCTATTTCATTCATATCATTATTATAGGTCTATTTTGATAAAATATAAAATTATATATTTTGATTGATGAGTTAAAATCGATTTGCAACTAGCGTAGAAATAAAAATAGTACTTTTGTTATAAACAAGTTGTAAAAGAAAAACTGCATCAATCAACGCCTCAGTATCCATGTTGAACAAGTAAAAAACTTGTAACAACACTTATAAAAAAAAAAAAAAACCAACAGTTTTCCGAAACAAAACTGAGGCACGCTTGCTTCAAAAACTATTTTTTTAGCTTCGTGATTTGAGAGGCGCAAGCTTGTCCAGGAAAAATATTGAAAAAACATAAAATGGAGTTGAGTTTTTATTGATAGTAGTATCCATAACACCAGCGCCTAACTCGTCAAATGCAGGTAGTGGTGGTGGGTTGTCCTTCAACCTCCATCCAAGTTCCTCATCAGTGGGTTTTTTTCTTCTTTTCCCCTGGTTGAACCTGTTCCGGTTCAGGATCAAAGTTTTCATTGGGCACAGGTAAATTCACATTATCCGGTAAGTTTTCAATTGGCAATCCACAACGATATCTTTTGGTTTTACGTTTAGAATTAGTCTAACTATTCGACCAGCATTTTACTTGGGTGTTTACTATACGCCTAAGAGAACCTAAACAAGAACTAGTTGAAGGCTGTAAGACATTATCTTCAGGATCACCAGGCAGAAAATCAGGATCTTTGTCAACATCGTCGAAATCAGCATCAGACAGTTTGTCATCCAAAAAAAATATCAAACAATTTGGCCTAACTAATTTCTGTTTTTGCAGATTTTATGATTAAGGAGATTATTTATAGGTGGTTGTTCATGTCTAATTTCAAGATGATTGGGCCTAAATAATATATCACCTGTAGGCCTATTAGTGCATGTGCCTAGAACTGTTTCCGATTCATCACAATTTTCCTCATCTGAGTGAATTGTAGGGTTAGATTTACATCTAATTGGGCCTAAGTTTCTAATTTTGTCTTCTTCAACTACTGCAATTGATTCATTTCGACAGTCATCATTTTCTATGTCACTTGGTAATAAATCATAAAACACCAACTCATCAGGATCATTTTCATCAACGATGTATGTAACTGCACTAACCTCATTTTGAAAAGCATCCAAATTACTTGCAACAAACCCACCTTCCGAACCAGAATCATAAATGGGATCATTCAAGTTTTCATTTAGTGATATTGTAGTAGAACTAGGTCCTGAACATATGCCATTATTTTCACTAAAAGGTTGATTTTCTTCAACACTATGGTCAGATTCTGTCAAGGGTTCTCAAATACGACTCAAAGTTTTTTTATCAAATATATCACTCATATTTTACACTAAACACGACAAAAATATTCCACAACAAGGTATTGCTCATAGCATGAACTATTACTCAATCAAAATACTTGTAAGAAACAGAAAACATTCACTTTATTGAACACATAAACAATCATAAACAATGTCAGCCATTACCGCAGACAGCTGGAATTTTTGTGTGTGTTACCAAACAGCTAGTTTTTTGAGGTTGTGGGCTATGATAATCAAAGCTAGACGATCAAGGAAGGGCTACGTAATGACAAATACAGTAAATGTGACGTCATTATGTTGCTATGGAATTAATATTGAAGCCCAACCTATACTCGGGGTTCGTTCATTGTATCTTACGTCATGCCTCGACCCATACTCGGGCTTAGGGTTCAATGTGTTAAATAGCCCCAAGGAAGATAATCTGTAAAATCTCTGTCATGACTAAGTAGTATAGAAAGAAGTATTGGTAATTAAATTACTGTTTACTAAAGTCAATTTATCATGCCTTGTGTTTTATTTATTTATGTAATTTTATCTATCTTTGGCCTCGTTCACTTACGTACGATCTATTAGCTTTTTCATCTTCTATGTAACCTCTTATCTATGGTTCTAGCTGGCAAACGGCAGCCAGTTGGTCTATCCAGGTTCCGGATCTTCCAACACTAGTTCTGCTGGAACCCCGGACATGCCTCCGACAAACACACATCTGCCTCTTCCTCCACCTCATCCTCCGCAGTTCTACCCTTCTCATCAGTATGCTGGACCTGAGGGCTTCTACCCTCCTCCCTACTTCATCAGCTACAACACTTACAGCACAGTAGGAGAGTACGAGAGCAACGAACATGTTCCCACTGAAGTAAGAATAGTTTATTGATTATAAGTTTTTGAAATGTAAAAATTGTGTTAGAATAGTCTGCAAATAGTTATTAAACCTATGAGTTATGAGTTTGGAATTTTACCAGAAATGCAGAGACATGCTGTAGTTGCTGTATGAAGCAAAACATTAGATTACAGTTAAACTTTTTTAGGTCCTAAATTAACTTTTTAATGGAAAACCAGTATCTAGGGTTGATTCATTTTACTGCTGCAAAAACATATAAAATAGGATAATTTTTTTGCCTTGGTCTTAAAATAGACAAACACAATAAAATAAAAGGTGGGCTACATGCAAGGCGTATAAAAGGAGGTGTGTGCATAGTGACGTCACGTGCGAACTGGACGTGTTTTATTTTACCAAATCATATGTTTTCATGTAATTTCCCAAAGACTTTTAAATGACAATCATTACGAATTAGCATTGAATATATAACACTATTTAGCTTTTTATATCCAATATAGTGTTGTATTCAATATTGAATATAGTCATAGTGTTATACAGTAATGGTGGTAGTATATAACATTTTGATAGTGAGTAGCTTTTAATAAAAAAAAGTAAAGCAGTAAATATGAAATTAAATGAATGAAAATCCTTCTTTATTGAGGCAAACTTAGGACCTCACGGTCCTTTCTTACAGTTAACCTCTCAAGTTAAAATACTACTGTGGCTGCCTAACATTCAATATATTTTTAGGTGACCATATAGCCTACAAATAGTTTTTATATAACACCTTTTTTGCATATTACAGTTACTTTTACGTTTTTAATTTCATGAATCATTTGTAATATATGCAAATTTTTAACAATTTAATTTTCTCTATTGTTTAGGTGAAGTGGTAGAATATTATGGCTATGGTAGATGCGTAAATACTATAGTATACCGTAAATTTGAAGAAACAAATTTTATCAAATCGTGTCCTCCCCCATTGCAAACGCAAAGCTTGAGTATAACTGCAATAAGCATTTTATACTTATATGCCAATCCCGTACGAAGGACGGGTACTCTACTAGTGTATAATGTAGGGTGATTCTAAATTACTGAGTTACACTTTTGAAACTATAAATGAAAAACTATACAACCTATCAACACAGGATAAGAATCAATTGAAAGAGGAGATTCTAAAGTTTTGTTTGACACCACTTTGGTAAACTTAGTTGCAAAATTAGCATCTCAGCCATTTTTAGATTTTAACTACGATAAATTAATTATACACTTTTACTTCTCTGAATTTCAAAACTTCATACTTTATCAACAGTTTTAATTATGCCACTAGGGGTCAATTAGTTCAATAATTTACCTCTCAGTTTATGTTTACGAAGCTGCAAGGAACATGACACGAGTTTCATTTATTTTAAAATTGTGTAATTAATTTAAATTCGTAGTTAAAATCTAAAAATGTCTGTAGAAGCTAATTTTGCAACTATGTTTACCAAAGTGGTGTCAAACAAAACTTTAGAATCTCTTCTTTCAATTGGCTCTCATCCCGCATTGATAGGTTAGTTTATTATTTATATAGTTTAAAAAGTGTAACAATAATTTAGAATCACTGTGTATAAGATGCACAAGCAAAAACTTTGACTCAGCTTTTAAAAAGATAATGATATTCTGTAAATTATATTTAGTTTCCTTTCATAATAAATGCAACATTTAATTAGTATAAGGTAAAAATTAAATACTTTTAAGCCCTGTAATATATTACAAGCCTAATGTATATTAGATTTTTTGTGGAGTTTTAAACAATCTCTGAAGGTGTTATACAAAATTCCATGGCCACACCCAGATGACTGAAACCTTCATAATTACAAGCAATAAAATACAATACCCTACAAGAAAGCTGACTATAAGTTTCAATAGTGTTTTCTTTGAATGCTCAACGTAGTCATTGAAACGTTGTTATCAAGCTTGCTATTGAATATTTACTTCATGGGGTTCGACGGTGAAGGACTTGCTGCATTCAAAAAGAAGTTACTTTGACGGTTGTGTGGCTTTTGTTTTCTAGGAGTCTATACCTTCTACCGTCTCTACACCACCGACAGAGATGAGTGAAAGAAGCAGCAATCGATCCCCAGCTGTAGCACCCTCACAGATGAATACTGCCAAGAACAAAATGGATCAGGCAAGATCAATCACAAATACTCCGAATAGTGTGCAGAGCAACCCGACTGTGCCAAGCAATGACAGCTCGGTGCCTGTGGTCTCCTGGCAAGTAATGCAGAACCATGCAGAGGATAGGCAACTTCACATTCGAGATGGCAGGAGAGCATTCCACCCCATAATTCCTCCCCAGTCCTCGCAACCCACCCGTGTCATGGTATATCATCAGCAGCCCAACGTCCCTGCCAACCATCCAAACAACATATATCCTCAGCCGGAAGTTCCTCGAAACCAGCAGAACTTTAGGAGTCGCCCGCGATACAACATATCTGCAAACAGTATGCCCTTCATACCAAAGTTTCCCGAAAGTTTTGACAACAATAACACATTAACGATGAATCACAACTTTCACGACAAGAAAGCCACTGAAGTGAATAACACTAGACAGCAAAGGTTCAATAACAAACCCAGGAAAGGCGGCAGATTCACCTCTCCTTCCTCTTCCACCGTCCCTAAGTCTAAACCCACAAATCCTGTTCCTTACCTTCCCTCCTATACTTCACAGGTTATGCAGCAACAGCAGACTTATGAACGGCCAGTGCTGATGTCTACTGTAATAACCAGCCAGCGATGGTCCTCCAACCCTGCCTCGTTGAAAAGAAATGTCATCTACAAACGGCAAAACGGCTCCAACTCAAATGTGGTAAGTGTAAACAGCAATTAAACTGTTGTAATTCAACACTCATATTATTGCAGGTGTCTAAAATACTTATACTCTTGATAAAATACTTATACTCTGTCTTATTGATTTATTTTGTTAATTTGGTATAGCCTATTCACAAACAAGTGAACTCCAAAGTCCAACTTATTTGCCAATCAGTAGGATGTCTCGTACTCTTTAAAAGTGTAAAAATTGTAAATAAATCATGGTCTTAAAAATGGAAAATGGTCTTTAATTTAAGATTGACCAAACACGGGACATATTAACGATGTTGCCGTGACCTCTAGACATGTTGACGATTAAACTGTGACCTCAAGACATGTTGACGACGGCGTCTTGATTGAAGGAGTTTTTTTAAATGTTGTTGTTATTTTTTGACGAAATCAATCACAATATTGTAGGCTATTGTTTAAAGATGGAATAAATCACTATTAATTGTGCTCACAAATCACAATTTACGATTCCAGTGACAACAACCAAGAATCTTTACATAAACTTAAAAAAGACCTATGGTAGGCAAATGAGGATGAACAAACTCTACTGTTATGGTTAGCGATCGTTTTGGTTTTTCCGATCGTGCAATAACTGCAATAGCCTCTAGTGTTTTGCACGATGTTGACATAATCACTACACCGAATACGAAAAACATCAAAACATAAACTTCATTTGTTACAATTCTATGAGAATTCTTCTCACGGTATTCAAAGATTTTACTTAGATCCTTACAAAACTTTACATTGATATTTTTTACCAAAAATACTGCGCATCTCTGCGATTAATATACTAAGAATACACATTATGATAATGTATTAATTGAAATATAACAACATCCTGTCAAGTATGTAAATTAAAAAAACAATTATTTTATATAAAAACATTTCAGTTCAAATATAATAAATATAATAGTTCTAAATATAATAGTTGATAGAGAAAAAAATGAGAAACTGTGTCCAAATTGATAAAATGATGTATCAGGCGAAGTCAAAATGTAAATCACGTTCATAAATAAACACCTACATAATTATTAGGTGTTAAATAAAGGTACAAACCCTTAAAACAACAGTTAGCTATGATTTAAAAGGAATAATCTAAGTAACAAATCTAGGGGGACAAAAGTGAGAAAATGTTTTATCCAGGTGTAAAATGATTCAAACCCACGAGCATTTAAAAATAAGTAAACAAACTAAAATAACTTATAAAATTATAAATATACAACAAAAACGATTCAAGTTAACATTAACATTGGTTATCAAACTCAGGTAGAATATTCCAAGCACAGAGTCGATTATTCAATATTACATGATCCGTGAACAGATACTTCACTTGCTTGAAATGTAATGGCTCACCATCGCCTTATTTAAAAATTATCTTACTTGAAAATTGTCAGAAAAAGTGACTATGCCAACTTAGTGCAAAATACCAAAACGATTGCTAACCATTACAGTCGAGTTAGTTCATCCTCACTTGCCTAACATAGGTCTTTTTTTAAGTTTATGTAAAGATTCTTGGTTGTTGTAACTAGAATCGTAAATTTTAGTTTGTGAGCACAGGGACTGGGATACATTATCATCACCGTCATGTTGTTAAATTTCGGAATCTGAAACTTTGGTTCACATGGGTTCGCCCGGGTCACTGACCTGAAAGTGCCGCGCTAAAGTGAATGAAGACTAGTACAAACATACAATACTATTACAGTGGAGTAGACCCTATCTTAACCGACCCTAATGGGACCGGACCTTGGTCGGCTAACTCAAAAGTTCGGTTAAAACAGGCAATCCCTAAAATCATAACATAACGAAGTGCTATTAATTTGGAATTATATAATCATTATTTTGAAGTCATACTTGCATTATTTATAAAATAAACTACTCTTATCTCCTTTTTCCTATTGATAGAAAAGTCACAAATAAACACAAAACACGGTTAAGCCAAATAGGGCGGGAAATACAGGTGAAGCCACCGGAAGCCCCCCGAAAATCAGTGTTGTCATATAAGGAGTGGGGGGAGCGATGAGTCATCCTAGTTACGCGCGTATCCTACAGTAACCTCCATCTAACAAAGTTTGTAACATATTTAGGACAGTAAAAGCAGTTTTGTGTACACACAGCTTTATGTACAGTATTTTTATTCAAATGTTTTGTGTTCAAACTATTATTGTCAAGACCATTTAATGTACCGTAAAAATCTGTGTTTTCGTATTGTGTAATTGAGTTAAAAATTGTTATTTAAAAGATTTGTTGTTGTTTGAGCAAAGTAAAACTTACATAAAAGGATAAATTTGTTTTAATATCCATTAAAAGTTTATAAACAGGCTTCAATGCATTGTTTCATATAGAGCCGATTTGGTCGTCATTTAGTTATTAATTACACGAAATAATAATACAATTAATGTGAATAGCAATTTTATGTATACGAATGTTACCGTACTTGACTTATAATTACAATAAATATTGTGCATCAATCACTGTGTGTGTATGTGGTTGCTAGAGACGTGTAGTCGAAAGGCAGCGGTCGAGCGTCGCGTCGGCGGGACACAAATTTTGCTTCCTCTTCTACATGATTCATTTCCAAAAGTATTCTTAAAAACAACTTTTTGTTAAATGTATATCATGATACAACTCAAGCTTTCAAACTTTGCCGCTGACAAAACTTTCCTGGCCAAAAAATAAAAAAAATTCCAGATCACTTACTTGTTTATGTTCTAATTCTCAATTTTAAAACTTCTTTGAGTTTTAACGGTTGTTAAAATTACAAAAAAAAATATTATTTTTAATTACAGCCTTACCATCAGCGAGAAGCACTAATTGATATTAGCTGTACCAAATTTGGTAATTTTAAGTCGACTCTAAGTGTGTCAAATCATTGTACATTTGAAAAAGGTGATCTACCGCTATATGTAGCAGTTGCCGTCCCAAACTCGATTCCCGTGCCAGCAACTCAAGTAAGACGAATATCACTCCGCTGCTAGTTTTGAGAACGACCGCTAGAGTGCAGTCGGACTTATTGATATTTTGGAGTAAGAAACTCGCTGCAACACTCTCGTTTGGCCCCAAATTGTTTGGTTATTTTTTATCTGATTTTAATAATTTTTTTAATATATTAATCTTAATGAAACTTGTAATGCTTTTTGTTTTTTAAAATTATACATAATTTCCTTAAACATTACCAAAAATATTGTAAACTTACCCATGTTTACTAGTTTATTTTTTAAAACATAAATTACTATTTTTAAAATTTGGTCCACGAACTGCAATTAGGATTATATTACCTTTCAAACGACACCACATTTGTAATTTTACGTTGAAAAATAACGATAAAATTAGGGTATATTCGTTAGCATTGGTCTTATGGAGGATTAATCCAATATGGCCGACGGGGGGAGCGTGGCCTTAACAACACTATATTCTTGTGTTTTGTAATGTTTTAATTGTGTGTGACAGGGTTCTGGTGCTCCTCGTATGAACAACAATAACAACAACAACAAGCCCAGTGGAGGTGCTGAGGCAGCTGCTACAGGTGACCTTGGAGGAGGAGGAGATGCTCCACCACCCTCTCAGCTGGCTCTCACTCCCCCCTCTACTCCCTCCAAGACTGGTAGAAAACAAGACGTCACTTCCAAGATGCAGACACTCTCTCTTGGAAGCAGCAGCTAAAAAAACAAGATTCGAGATGGGTGCCTTGCTTAGACCGGACAATATCGTATTTTGCCACTTTTTTTCTTAACCGGTTGTGTTCAAACAGGTATCGAGCCAGGTATTTTTTGTAAGTTTTTACCTGGAATTGTATATAGTTTTTTTTTTGAAACGGTTTACTTAAACAATGCTGTGGCAATTTACAGTGGGGGCGTGCAATGGAAAATTTTTGTGAGAAAGTGGTTATTTGTCTTTATCTTTCTCCCACGTGAGTCGCAGCAATGTTTAATGTTGTTTTTCTTGTTTAGTCTAAGACTGTTAAATGTTACATTGTTCGTTATGTTGATACTTAATTTATTGTTGCACTTGTTAAACACACACAGTTATATGTGTACTAAATCTTCTAGTCTTTCGTTAAGGTAAAAAAGTATATTACACTAAATTGTGTATTAAATACATGTAGTGTTAAAGTTAAGATGTTAATTTAAGGCAGTTGATACACTTCATAACGAGACATATTTAATAGTGATGGTGAGGCCTAATTGTTAAAAAGTGCGTTAGTAGTGCTTATTCAAAGGAAAGACTTGCTCAACGATATTACAACATATTGTTGTGTTACCTAATGATGCCTTTTAAGAGAAAGTGTGTCGCACATCACAATCCCAACCCTACATCAGATAGTAGCCTAACTTCAAGAACAATGTAGACTTTAAGATACAAAAGACAATGTACTGTGCTTATACCCCTTTACTATTCTTACGTTCCTGCATGTGTTTTTACCCAACCCTTTTTGTGTAGTGTGCCACATATTTATTTTTATCTTTAAATTGATTCAAGATGACACCGTTGAGAGTGGAAAAATATAGATATCGTAAGATAAATGTGGCAAATTTCAAATAGGTATTCCCCTGAGATAAAGCTAGCTAACACACCTGCAACTTTGCCGACATCAAGTTCACCACTCTTATAAACAAATTGAGTCTAGGAAACAACAGAAGAATTTAAAAAGAGGACAGTCATCAAAATTTTGTGTGGTTTTGTCTTAAAATATTTATTTCTTATACTAATATGTGTTTGTATTGTTCAACGGATAATAAAATAATAAAAATTCATTAATTGAATATATTTTCTTTTCAATTGATAAAATATTTGTCGTACAACCTAAAACATGTAATGAAGATAATTTAACATAACAAAAGACATTTTCATTTAACTTGAAATTATGTTACTATTACATTTTTTTACGAATATAGAGCTTACATCAGTGCTTTTACTAACAAAGAGTAAATAATGTGTACCAATTCTTTGTGTAGGTTGAATTAGTGGAAAACTATTTTTATCCATGTAGAATGTATTTTTGATTCCCACTACATAAATAATGAGAAGACACAAGAAACTCTGATTGGTAAACAATGGATACACAAACAAATTGGTTAAATTGTTTTGTACATTACAAACTACCTAATTCTTGTGGATTGTACCATTACCAAAATTAAATAAACTTAAAGATTTTATAATAATATTTAAATATGATCTTTGCCACTAGATATGTCTTAAAAAAATAATGACTTTTAAATTTAGCTCCCAACATTTTACAACAATATAATTTATTGCTTATCTACTTTGCTATGTCATGTCATTTTTATGGTTTATTTATTCATATTGAATAACTGTTGTCTCTTGGTGAAAGGATACTTTCAATCCTGAACGAGACTTAAACAGTATTGTTTAACTTGTACTTAAGCCTGTTTACATATAAGGTTATTAACATGTATACCTTAATGTTATTTATCTTATTTCAACGTTATAGTGGTGTAGGCCTATAATTATCACAAGGCTGTGAAATGAAAGTTGTGTTAGCTAGAGCAACAAATATTATTTTTAAATGATTGTAATTTATGTAATTTGCAACATATTCGTGTAAATTGTCGCTAATATTTTTGGTCAATAACGGTTTGTCCTTGTATACGTTAAATATTTATTTATTTTTATTTAATTCTTTCAAGATACATATGTAAAACTGTGTGCTAAATTCTATTTATTTTCTATTCCCTTTTGTAGAAAACTAATATTTTTCTTAACTATTCAGAAAAGTTGTCAGTAGTACTTCTTAAATAACCCTAGAAGATAATAAAACACTGCAAGGAACTTATGAGCTTAATTGATTTCAACCCAAAGTATACCAGATTCTCGGTTGTAGTATCAATCTTGGCTTGCCTTTTAGCAGTCATATGTAACCATTTAAAAGGCTTATCTTCAACCATTGTAATTTTTCCAAATCAATACAATCAAACAGTTTACAATTCTATATTTTATTTAATATCTAAGGGCAATTTTACAAAACACTTCTTAATGGACGAATGTTTACAAACACTTTGTCAAAATGAACAAAACAGTAGCTTGTTGCTCGCAAATTATACATCTAGTGGTATCATAAATTTATTTTTTTCTATTTCATGATTCTGTATCAACTACTTGAGGGACGAATTTTCATAATTTTTGTGTTGAAAGAAATATCATTTTGTAAGGGAATGTTGAAGCCATAATTTTAATCAAGGGTTTCAGTTCTTAAAAATCATGATTAAATTTTTTAAGTCTAGCAGCTGACACTAATAGTTTAAAGTTGTTTCAGTGCAGATTCAACTAATAGCTCGTTTTAAACTCATATTTGTTTTGCAAAAATATTGATCGTCGGTATTTTCCTACATACTTACTATTTCAGTTTCAAATGTAGTTTATTTCCTACCTTAAAGGATCTGCGTTATCAGGAAATGTGCAATTGTGAACTATACATCACAAACACTTGCATATAAACCAGTTTGGTCGTTAATGCAATCTATGTAAGTATACGTTTATGCCACAAACACTTTAACTCATGTTTGGGAAATATTTTTTTTCAACTAACTATCGCTTAATTGCTTAAGATATAAATGGTTTGCGTGTTGTTACTTTTTCTTGATGTTCGAATCTGTATAATTATGTTGTCATGCCAAAACTCTGGTTAGTAATTAAAATGTCAACTGGTCTAGTAGATCTCTAGAAAACTGTCCAATAAGCTGCAGGGTGTCAGAATAAACCAAAATCGATTCATACCATACCATAAACTAACCCAGATGTACTGTACGGTTCAAAAACTTAGGCACTGAACAAAGAGGGTCTGCGGAATTGGCTAACTCTGGAACTTGCTAACCCCATGTTAAACGCCCTATCTCCAAATTTGGTCGATGAGAGTAATTCGCTAACTTGTTCGACTTCAGAATTGGCTAACTCCGGAACTCGCTAACTCCCAATCAGGAGCCTCGCGAGCCGTCCAATGGGAGCCAAGCACAAAGATTGTTGGCCAGCGTTGCCGAAAGTGTAGTACCTACGATCGTATCGGTACTATTATGTTGTATCCTACGCATAATTAGGAGTAAGAGCAATGTAGTCGATAAAATAACTATATATTCAGAAGTATGTTTATTATTATTCTTATGATTATTATGACTATTATTAGGGTGGAAAATGCATTATAGTCTTACCATAGACTAGCCACCACAAGTAAACTTCACATCCCATTGTAAATTTTGAAGCTCGTTTTTCATATTTAGTTCATGTCCGGTGACACTGATCACTAGTGTCGATAAAATTGTGTTTCTATTATTTTATAGTTAACTTCATGATTTGTTCTCTACTGCTTGGTTATATAACTAGGGGACGAGTTAAATGATTATAACGTTTTATTTGGTTAAACGAGGTTTTAAATGACTGAAAACAAGAAAAAAATTGTAAACAAAAGACGACCTCTACAGACAGTGCACTGGACTAACAATAAACTAACAACTAACAATAAAATTGTCTTCAGCTGATCCAAAAGGATGAGAAATATAATATAAGGGAGTATGTTTTATCTATGGTCTTCTTACTTAAATGGTAGTTTATTGGGATGTAAAAAGATAGTACTGAACATTTAATTTGGATCTTTTTACAGGTTATGAAATATGTATTTTCGTAGTCAGTCATTTGTTGATTCTTAAAGGCCTATTATATCTGTCATATGAGTGTTAACAAGAGTTTGGTTCTTCTTAATATTTCTTTATTATTACCGAAATAATTCCGATTCATAGTATTAGCATAGACTAAGCAACACAGGTCTATGTGTTGTAGTATGTTTTATCTATGGTATTAGTAAACAAATGAATAGTTTCGATATTTTTGTATAACAGGTACATATGATTACCTAGGTACATTAATTAATAACAAAAATCTAAAACGTTAGCAATGTATTACAATATTGCGTCTTTACTTTATATTAGCCAAGAAAAGGAATTTAAATGTTGTTAGGAAACATATAATCTATTTACAAAGTTGAAGCAGCATTGTAATAGTCTATCCTATTCGAGGCAACCAACAATTCGATATTTTAAAAATAAGCTCCATTAATTGCTGTAGACCTGCCTAGAATTGTGAGGATTGACTTCCCGATAAAATTTACATGTTAAATGTCATTGCAGAAAAGCATTGTTGTAGTGTTAAAAATATTTTTAAATTAAGCTATTGAATTTCAATAAATATTAATCAATACATTATAAAGTGGTAATGTATATATGGATTTAGGCACCATGTGCAAAGGTGAGGACCAGGGGCTTTCAGAGGGTCGAGCAATACCAAGCTTAACCATCTCCTCAAATTCTTTCCGGGCAGCTTTCAATTTTTGAGGATGTAAGCGACGTGGTCGACAGTGAACAGGAGGACCAGGTGTAACATTTATATGATGAACTGTTTTATGTTTCACAGCACGAGGTAAGCCTGGAGGACGAATAATATCAGGGAATTCAGAAAAAACTTCTGCCAATGGCGAAGAGAAAGATATAACTTTAATACTAGTTTGATTGTTGTTAGAAACTATTCCCTCGGCATTCAATCCCGTTTTCTTGTCAACCAAACATTTCATTTTGCAATCGGGTAATAAGTGATAGTGTGAAAGGAAGTCTGAACCTAATATAGGTATTGAAACATCCGCTACCACTAGACTCCAAGGGAAATTACGTCTAAGGCCTAAATTAAGGGTGAGAGGCATGGTACCATAAGTCTTTATTTCACTGTTATTGGCAGCACTTAGTGAATAGCTAGTAGGAAAACGTTTATATTTGATAAGGCGTTTAGGAAAACACGACACATCAGACCCGGTGTCGATAAGGAACCTAGTTCGTGAATTTCTGTCCATCACAAAGAGACGGCCGCCAGCATTTGAACAATCCGTTGCGGCCTCTACGGATTGTTGCTGAGGTTTCCCTGAAAAGAGCACGGAGAAAGACATTTGGTAGCATTGTTTTTGAATTTTCTATGGTACCCGCACCAGTTCTTAGAGGGATTAGGTTCGTTTCCTGATCCACCACGAGACTGGGAACGACCCCTAGGTCTCACCTGTGTATCTCGTACTCTGGTTTCTGATAATGCTTGAACTTGTTTAGAGAGGGATTCTATTGCATTTAATAAAGAAGTGTTACCTGAAGAGACTTCACAAATACCAGGTGTTGAAGGAATGTCAGCTACCTCCATGATCTTATCAGCCAGTTCTGCCAGTTTGTCCAAGGAGAGCTCAAGTTGCGTAGTCAATATGGCTTGTGAATGAGGAGGGAGTCGTCTGAGCCACAGTTGACGAAGCATGTTGTCTTGAAGGGGAGTCGAGCCCGCAAGAGACCTAAGATGCCTCAAAAACTGAGAAGGCTTGCGGTCTCCAAGGTCCTCTTCACTCAGCAGCCGCCGCACACGTTGCTCTTCGGATGCAGAGAGGCGTTCAATCAGTTTCTTTTTTAGATGTCCGTATTTGTCGCCTTGAGGAGGGTTTGTTATGATGTCTTCGACTTCAGCAGCAATTCCTGTGTCCAATTGCGAGACCACGTAGTGAAACTTGGTGTCGTCGTTGGTAATTCCAGATATAAGAAATTGCGAGTCAACTTGACAGAACCACAGACTTGGTCTTTCAGGCCAAAAGGGCGGAAGTTTGACGGCTACTCTGTTCACCGACATGTTTTGAGAAGTGCTGGGTTGTCCAATCCGTTGACGCAGTTCTTCATTCGCAGTTCTAAGTTCGGCGAGTTGAGTCTGCAGGTCTTCTAATGACATCGTTCGAAGGAGGAAACACAAAAGATTTAAACTCTTCAAAGAAAATAAGTCTTTAGATAACGGTTGTAGTCGGGGTCACCATTTTGGTCGTGGTTGTTCGTGTACATAGAATAAAATTACGACCAAATAAGTAATAGAAAAGTATTTTAATAAGAGTTAAATTGTGTGTACATTCTTGTAGAAAAACAAAGATCAGACTAACTTAATGCGTTGCTATGACAACGTCATCAGCTGACGCTACAGATTGTATTAAAATTAGTCTATGCATTAATACAATTTGTAAATTTCTGTTATCGTAGGCTATTAGTGTAGAACGGGTTATCCTCTTAATTTTCGTTAATTAATAATAATTTTACGTCTTTCTGTACTTTAAAAACGTCTGGAGTTTTTGTAGTTCTAAATAGATCCAGGTGTTCTTGTTTGTTACCATTTTTTATGAATAGTGGCAATAGCTAAAACTAGCTGATGTTATCCAACAACAAAGCTATTGTCAACATCACGATTAAATTTGTTTTCCGTACAAATACCCTCTGTAAACCCTCTTTCCCATAGTCCGATCATGCTGGTTTGCGAACTCGTTAGAATAAATGTACGTTTACACATTTATACCAAATTCATCAAAATTGGATCATTTTTGCTCGAGTTATTGTGCTAATGGACACATTATATATATATATATTTATATATTTATGAATTAGCTTATTCTCTAGTAATTCGTTTAAATGAAATAATAATAATAAAACGTTAAAATAAACACATTTAATCTATATATAAAAAAGGCAAAGCCCTCACTGACTGACTCACTCATCACTAATTCTCCCACTTCCCACCTAACTAGGAGGCTGAAATTTGGTACACTGATTCTTTAGGCATTAAATAGGAAAACTAAGTGGTTTTTATTCTGATCGGACTCTCGGGCTCCGCCCCAGTGGCTCTGGAGTTTCTCATGTTAACCTAATGAGTACTCATATTTAAATGGAATTAATGAATCATAACAGCTGTTTCAATTAAACAAGTTGGTTCTGTTCTATGATGTTCAATAGCATTAAAGTTACAAGGATTGCCAACAGAGTGCAGCACTATACTTTTTTTTAATATTTGACAACAGCTAATTTGAAACCAAAAGGTGAGTGAGCGTAGCGAACGAACTTCAACCCGGAGGCGAGGTAGCGTAGCGAACGAGCTAACCTGAAGGCAAGTGAGCGCAGCGAACGAGCTCCAACCGTAAAGGTAAGTGAGCGTAGCGAACGAACTTCAACCAGGACGTGTGAGCGCAGCGAACGAGCTCCAACCTAAAGGTGAGTGAGCGTAGCGAACGAACTTCAACCAGGACGTGATTGAGCCATGCGAACGAGCTCACATATGAAGTTAAACGGGGCAAAGCCCGCGGGTACAGCTAGTTGCAAAATAAATAACAGAAATAAAATAATTTGTTAACTCAGACTAAAGATTTTCTGGTTGTCTCATTTAAAGACAAAATAGACCTATCAAAAGATGGAAATTGACTTGAAAATAAAGTTGAATATTATATAATTTCAGAAAATAAAACCCAATTTGTTCTGAAAGGATGTTTTATAAAAGCTTACAAAATATATTTGTTTGGTACAACTTTTTACAATGCAATGTTTTTACAAAACATGTTTAAAGCAGTAAAAGTTATGTCTTAAAACTCTTAGGTGATGGTTATGTACATTGGAGTACATAAGATTTATTGTATCTTTGCATTGTTCATAGATTGCTAGTTTGTAAGTTTGTTGTTATTCAGGCTCAATCAGCGAGGTATATCTTTCACCCTGAAAAAAAACAAAAAACAGCATGAAAGCAAGTCATCACCATAATAGCTATTTGTGTATTAAGAGCGCAATGCCAGGTTCACTTGTAATGTCCAGAATTTCCACATATATTTCGTCAATCAACACTCACACGTCTAGACTTACAATGAGAGCACTACAGTAGCATCGTCAAAAACCAACTGTTGAACTTAATAGACGTGTTCTTGAACAGTGGGCTCAAAAGCAACCAATGGCCAGTGATCATCTATGATGATAACTTCAGATACTCTTGGACAACACACCTTTAGCGAGCATTCCCGCTCCGCTCACTAATGTGAGCTAGAATGTATATAACTAATTGTGCCTTAGGTTTGTAGCCATCTGTTACTTGGCTTGGTATAATCACAACTCCTGCTATCTTTTGGTTAACATCAATCTAAAGTGTATACGTAAAATGTACCGGTATGTATTTAGTAAACAAACAAAATATCTACCGTACTTACTCTAATCTAGGGCAAGTTAGCATAATTTAAATATTAAGTGGTTTTATGGTACCTGTTCCGTCAATTGAAATTATAAATCAAATCAAGATGGCTGTTGTTAAATTCTTCTTTTTTTTAAGGAGTAAAGGTTGGTTTCTTTTACGTTTTTCGTATTCAGTAGCCAAATTCAGCAGCAATGATTGATAATTTTCCTCCATAACACAAATATTTGGTACTAGCCTACATAGTTTTTGTGAACATCTTACCCAATAATCAGTAATATAAATTATTCAAAGCCTCTTTTGTGTCACTGAAAAACAACACTCCTAGTTTGATCCTCAGAATTGTTGACTTGAACTTTGGTAAAGATCTTGTTTTAGAGTGCCCGGGTGGAGAGATGTATGGAAACCTGATCTCAACTGGTCTTAAACACTGCAACAAAACAAATATAGAAATTAACCCTATATCTTATCTGTAGGACACAAAAGTGTAGGACACCACTTTAAACAAAGGCATTATTATTATTATTATTGTATTAACAATGCAAGGGATGAGGATGAGGTAATATTGAAAACGCGTTTTGTCACTCCCAAAGGTTTTTATAGGAAACGTCAAAAACTCATATTTAGCAGATTAATAATCATTTCCGGTTATACAAACCTTAATACACATTTTTTTATACTCATAAGTTGATATCAAACAAACTTTTCCTTAGGCCTCATTTTGCACTAAAAATTGTGCCAAGTATTTCAAATGAGAGTTTCAGCAATACTAGATGTCGTAAAAACATTATGACTCGTCACTTTTATAAATTCTCACACTTCTTACTACTAATTGAGGCTATATCAAAGTCGAAGTTAAAAAATAAATTAATCAAAAATTAGCAATCTATCTCAATAAATAGCATAAGTGTACAGATAGGAAATTTTACGCAACATGCAAGACAATAAACATGATGTTTCCAGTAATCTTGATAGCACGGGTATCTCTCTCCTGTACTGCATTATGAGCCTGGAATGGAGTGCTGCAGCATGGGAGTTGTGTTTAGAACTGTGGTGCTTTTGGTTGACCTTGTTAGTAAAGTAAATTAATTGTTGAGCGGTCGAAAGATTTTGCCTCTCTGGAATTGTAGCTTGAGTGTTTGAATCTGGCCTCAGTCAGGTCTGGTGTGGCAGGCCTTGGTGGGCAATATTTTAACTGTTTTACTTCAGTCAGTTGGTTAACAGATACGATACCTACAGGTTAGAATTACATTGTCATGTTAACATGCATTTTTTATCCATAGATTTATTTCTTTAGAACCAGTTTTAAGGATAATTTTTTAAATACTGAAAATAAAAAAAAACATAAGTGTGCTGGTCTCTTGTTCTGTCTTTGATAAATCATGTGGTTGTATAATATAGCGTCTAGATACTCAGAGCAACGAGTCGGCTCACCGGAGCAAGACAAAATGAGAGCATTCTATTGGCTGAGGGAACACCATTACCACAACGATACAGCATAGAGCCATCGGCCTCGGTGGTCAAATGGATAGCGTGCCGGGCTGAGAATCTGGTGGTACCAGGTTCGAATCCCATCGATGGCACAAACTTTTTGTCTAAGATTATTGCATTATCAGCAGGTTTGTTTAGTTTGGTTAGGTTATGACAGTTTAATTTTATAATTTAAAGATTATAAAATTGAATTTGAGGCATTTATAGTTTTATTTTATGAACAGAACTATTTTTTCGATTAGTAAACCTTCATTCAATTTTTTCATTATCAGCAAGTTTGGTTAGTTAGGTTAGGTTATGACAGTTTAATTTTATAATTAAAAAATTAATTTTATATTTTTTTAGTTTTATAATATTTTTTTTATTTCTAATTTTAAACTCTCATTTTGTCCGTATTAAAAAACTGCAGCTGAAATAAAAATTGTGCAGCCCCGACTGTTGCTCCGGTGAGCCGACTCGTTGCTCTGAGTATCTAGACGCTAGTGTTGTATAAAACCTAATTTATGTTACATTTGGGGAGTGTTTATAAACAAGGATTGTTGTATTTGGATGTTGTAATCTATTGACACAATAAATGTCTTATTAATTATCATTGTATTGATCTCGGGAATAACTCATGGTTTCAAACAGGAACTAACCATGCTGAACAGGAAGAAACAAAGGTTATGGATTACCAGGATTACTATACATGCAAGCTCCACAGGACTCAAAAAAAGGAACCCTTGATTAATACTCCATTTCCTGATCTCCCGTGGTCCCTAGTTGGGTGTGACTTTTCCAGAGTCAAGGGTCAATTGTTTTTTTGTGATACAGGACTACTATTCAAGGTATCTGGATGTGATACCAACAATGTCGAAAGCTTCAGTACCTGCTATCGAAATACTTAAAAGGATCTTTTCACAATTTGGTATTCCACACACACTTTGGTGTGATAATGGTTTCCCTTTTCATAGAGAATATTTTAATAACTTTGGAAGGGATTGGGGATTTACTATAACAACTATTAGCCCTAATTATCCACAGTCCAATGGTCTGGCAGAGTCAGCAGTAGCAACTGCTAAGAAGATTATTCTTGTGCAAAGACATACATAAGGTCGTCTTGATTTTCCAGGCCTTTAGAGAATGGTTACTCTCCTTCATAGTTGCTTATGAGCAGGAAGGTAAGAGGTACTGTGCCCATTGCTTCTGTTAACCTTGTCCCAAAAACACATGATCTCAAAACACTGAGTTCCAAAGAAGAACAGATAAGAAGTACAAGGAGACTCCGGCTCGTTAAGAGGCATGCAACGAGGGAAAGAGGAGAGCTACAAGATGGACAAATGGTCTACGTCAGGGACAAGCAAGTAAAAGGAAAAATCACCCATAAGCATGAACAGCCCAGGTCTTACATAGTGGAAACGGAAAACAGGAGAAGATTAAGAAGAAACCGAGTTAATTTATCAAATATTACAGATAAAGCTCACTACACCAACCCCAGACGTTTGTGAGAGGCGGATGTGCTGGTCTCATGTTCTGTCTTTACTATAAATCATGTGATTGTATAAAACCTCATGTTATATTACGGGAGTGTTTGTAAACAAGGATTATTGTAGTTGGATGTTGTAATCTATTGACACAATCAATGTCTTATTAATTATCATTGTATTAACCTCGGGAATAACTCAATAAGTACTCTCAAATTTGGTCAAATTGTTGATTTGATTTTTCATGTTTGAAATTGCAGAGGTGACCCCAGCGCCATTCAAAAAATTTAAAATGGTGGACAGATTTGTTAGATGTAACTTCAATTCGTAAATACTCTATCTACTGTACAAGTCAGTATAGTAGGGATTGCATTAAGTTACTTGTAATCAATCTCTCTGGTTGGACTGATGCGTCGTTTACCACAAAACATCCCGTGTAAACCTCGTGGGCAAACACATGTTGGAAGTCCAGTTGAGCGAGAAATAACACAAGTTCCTTTTATGTGGCATGAATGGGTCTCACAACCCCTTGGCAAATCTGAAATCACATCATTGGATAAACAAAAATTACTAGATTAAAATTCCATGTAAGTCTTAAAACTCATTATTAATTTTTGTAAATAATGTGACATACTTTTTTCCATCCATCCTTCATTAAATGTATATCAAAGCATTGGCAAAATAGGTATTCTTTAAGATAATAATTATGATAAGGTAAAAATAATGTTATATCACATAATCAGTAGCATTTTTGTTACACATGATTGTTTATGATACACATTTGGACTTTAAAATAAACAGCACAACATTCATGGTATGCTGGTTTTTGGTGGACAATTAACTGTGCTGGAGTAAAAATTGGCATAGCCACCCCATCGACCCGCGGTTGCAACCGTCACGCTGGTGGAGGTATCCCCAGCCAACCATTGCAATGCTCCCGCCGATACGCCTCACACCCCGATCGCCACCGCCTCGTCTAGCCGGCCAGTGCCGCAGGAGGTGCGCGCCCTCCTGTCAAATTTGCCGTTGGAAGACACGGGGCGGCGAAGGAAAAACCAGAGGGTGAAGGTGTTCAGGGAAGACGGTAGGTTTTTCCGGGTGCAGACGAAGAAGCTGCGGACGATGGAGGACATATATTGAGGCGACGTGCCCATTTTAAGAAGAGTTTCAATTTTGTTATGTCTTGCTCGAGAGTTTCACAGCAGACGCCGACAATACCCTAGGTTTGGGTATTCGTTTTTTATTTTTTTCCATTTTTTCTTTTGTTTCTGGGAAGTAAGAAGGGGGTGTAACGACCCAAAACCCGTCAAGGGGTAAAAACCCGATTTTAAAAGTTTCCTTTTAAGATGTTTTTTAAGTTCGGGGTAAGCCGCGCCCGCGTTGTCAGTGGCATCGTAGGGGCAGGGGTCCTACGTCATCATAGAGGGGAGGACGCTAGTTACCTACCCCGCTGCCAGGGGCGATGGCGAAGAAGGACTAGAAGAGCAGACCTCATGGTCAGTTGTCCACCCGCTACCGAACCGTCAATACACTGTCTTTAACCAGCTTCTGAAATCATTTAAGCTGCCAGAAATGTTTACGTGCAACTTATTCCGTTACCCCGAACTGTCTTAAGTAAATTTGATTTAAGAAACCCCGTATCGACTCTGGTGATCGACCGAGTCTAATTTTCCCGACACGTTTACTTTGGTGATTACCAAGTATAACGAGCAAATCACGTTTAGGTTAAGTTGCCAACTAATTAGGCTTATCCACGTTCACAATAGTTTATTCAAAATTCTAAATTTAGTTTCACATATTTTTCGAGTGGCTATGATGAGCACTTGTTAAAAGTAAGCTTAACATTGTAAGCATTATTGTTGTAATGAATGTTCTGAGCCAGTAAACTCGAAACGATAATTAATTAACGAACACGTTAGAGTCCTGGACTATCTCATTGTAGGCTAGGCTATCTGGACAAATTTAAGGTGTGACCTAGTTTCAGGTGAGACGACTATTACGTCATCGAAAATCAAATTTTCTCTCTCAACCCGAAATTTTGTCATACAATCTCCTCAATCTTACACTCATTTTCATCCGTTATGGCTTTCGGTGTGTCACTATCTTAAATAAATAGTATTTAGAATAAATCTAAATAATTGCTCATCATTGCTATTCTATTTGTACATAATTCCACTTCAAACCTTACCTGGTTTCGACAAGACATGTCTGGTTTGTTTTTTAATAAAGTGGTTCAGTCTCATTTCTTTGAAATGATTTTGGAGAATTCTCTGTTTTACTGGAAGCTCTGTTACTTGTAATATATTATCATCTGAAATCATATAAAATATAAAAAGATGAAGAATGAAAACAAGAGAAATATCTTTTGTTATCCAAACATTAGCTTTTTAACAACAGTTATTTCAAATCTGAAATCATGAATAAGTATTGTAATGGCTATAGCAAACAAAATACGGTATATTCAGTAATTTAATATTTATTATATGTTTTTTCCGTTTATAAAGCTATTTTTTAATGTTTTTTAACGTTTATTAATACTGTCCGCGAGAGTAAAGAAGTCCCTTGAGCCAGAGCGATACGTAGCTATGTTTGGAGGGTATCGCGCACTATTTGCAGGCGCTAAGCATCTGGGCGCCTCGCCTCGATGTCTGTCTGTAAACAACTGTTGTAAACATAATTACTCTATCTTTGTTTTGGTAAGTGGATTATCATCATGTGGTCACGTCATTTCGTTTTGTTTTGGACGGTCCTTGTAGCTATGGATTTAAGAAAACGTGGTGCTACTATACATAGTAGGGAGAGTGATTTAATTAGACGGGTGATCAAGTGTTGTGACAACGAATGTAAAGACAAAAATTTATTAGTGACGATAGAAAAGGCAACAGAACGTGCCGCAAACTATTGTAAAGTTCCAGAAAAAAACTGATTAAATGAATTAGAAAAACCGGCAAACAAACTCCGGATGAAAAACTCTGTACACCCGGGAAAAACGCAAGAAGGCTGACCACCATAAAGTACAAATAGATAGCTTTGATAAACGTGTAATTGTAGATGTAATACGCGATTTATACAAGAACAAAAAAATTGTCCCTATATGTAAAAAACTATTACCTGTTTTGAGAGAAAGAATTTATTTTAAATGGAGCGAATGGGCACTTCGGCGTCTCTTAAAAGATATGGGGTTCAAGTGGAAGAAATTTTGGTCCTAAAAGAAAATGTTAGATTGAAAGGCCTGACATCGTTAATTGGAGGTTAAAGTATTTGCGAGAGATAAGAAAGCTAAGGGAACAAAAAAGGAAAATTTTCTATCTAGACGAAACTTGGATGGACAGTAATTTAACGTTCCAGAAATGTTGGAAAAGTATAGACGTCAATGTCGTGTTACCTGATATGAACGCGTCAAACCGCGTGATTGTCGTAGACATTGGGTCAAACGAAGGGTTTTTGCTTGTTTTCGTATTTTCTTGATTCTTGATTTTGCTTAGGTTTATGGTAATAGGGTTAATAACTTTAATAATAAATAATGACATAGATTTATAAAAATCATACAGATATTAAATACAAAAACTAAGCCTTAAAACTAGCAGCGCTGCGTCAAGACGGCTCTACAGTAATTGTCGCGCGAAACGTTCAAGCGTAACGCCTTCAAACTACGAATAGGCCGGAGCTCAGGGGACTTCTTTAGTCTCGCGGACAGTACTCAACCATTTGAACAAATAGTAGGCCTATCGTGAGGTATTTTTAAAACTAGGGAGTCTTTTTCGGACACCCGGTATATATATATTTATAAACTTATATATATTATAACAATTTGAAGCAACAGTATTTTTAGTAACTCCAAAATGAAAAAGTAAATCGGTCCCGGGTCTAGGTCTTACTATGAGACCTACGGTAATTGCCTATTCCCTACAAGGGAAATTTGCTAATAATCAGCACATCATTTATATTGAATGGTGTGTGTTGAGGAAACCACTATATAATCTTTTCATCAATTTCGTTGTCTCGAGCAATACGAGAATGGCGCACGTCAACATGTTGCTCACTGGTCACTGACGTCATTTTTTATAATACTTCTCAACTTCCTACAAATTTGATGAGAACAGATCATCCCAAGCGCCCATCGAGTTACAACATTTTGTCTGTTATCCCTCGTCCTCGAGTCAATCCACCAGAGCTTTTCAATGTCTTTATGAGGGCCTGTTTGATGGCCTAATCAGACCAAATTCCAGACCAGAACTTGTCTGTACGTCTTGTAATGAAATTTTCGTTCTTTGTGAATTTTTGTGTTCTTCTATATCAATCCTGTATTTCAATTCATATTCAGCATGTCCTGTATAGATGGGCGCACTTGGCATGGAAAAATGACCCGCTGCATGGAAGATCTGTAGAGTGATTGTAATTGGAAGAGCTCATTTGCCTGATCTTTCACTGTTTTATTTTGTTTTAAAGTTAAAGTACTGTACCCAAAGCTTAGCTTAAATGTTTATGTTTAAACTTTTGACAGCTTTGGGAAGAGTAGTTTTGCCGTTAAAGGTATATTTTGAAGGTCCGTTTTTCGGCATGTAAACCTATATTAAAACGAGTTCGCGAGGCCATGGGAACGTTTGCTTTATGGGGTTTTTTGTTAAGAGCATTTTTTTCATATTTTTGACCCTCAAAAGATACAATGTTACATTAGTGTAACGTTATTACATTTAAATAGAATCCATTTAAGAACACGTCAACAAATATTGTTTTTATGAAAACATATGATTGAATTAAATTAAAGAACAGTATTTCAGCATACATAACATTTCCCCCTTCCTTCTTTAAAAGCCTGGAGGACTAATATTCATCATGGTAATACATTGGCCGTCTTATATTCCTACTTGATTTTCTCTGGTTTGTAGTACCAGATGAAGGTGAAGTTAGTTTTTGTGAAGTTTGTTGTTGAATAGATTGCTGTGCAGGCTGTATTTGTTGACGTGTTCTTAAATGGTCGGCATGCTGCCTGTATTCTTTGTCATCAATGTTCACTCTGTATGACATAACGTCTTGAAAGATTTTTCTTGATTACTACATTATTGGATTTCAGACAAACTCGTTCAAAATGCCCCATTTTCCCACAAGCTCTACATTGAATATTCATTGCCTTGCAATACTCACCTGTTTTATGTTTTGCAAAACCACACCTCAAACACTGTGACTCAGGATTCAAGCTGATTCTAGTACTGTCCCTTTTGTGTAACGGTTTAGTAGTTCGTGTAGCCCCTACCTTATTTACCTGTGCGTCACATGAAAATGTCCCAAGTGTTTCTATTTGTTGTTGTTGAGAATGTGCCATTTCCATTAGGTAGGCGTCTTTAACGATGTCGACAAGTTTTGCTTTTTCCTCAGGATGTTTTCTGATGAGCTCTTCTTGCATTTTAGGATCATTTAAACCCAATAAGAACTGGTCTCGCAGTCTTTCGTCAAGTGTATCTTTAAACTCACATTCCGTCGCACCAGCTCTCAAATTGTTTACAAATATGCGTATTGATTGATCTTTGTTCTTCATGATTTTTCCAAATTTTAGTCTTTCGGCCAAATAGGATGTTTTTGGTTTATAGAAATTTGAAATAAACTCAACAATTTCCTCGTAATCTACTGTTAAAATAGGTGTTGGATAAAAGTTATCAACCACAATTCTATAATGTTCAGCACCAATCCATTTCAGAATTAAATTCTCTTAGCTTCTTGATTGTGTTGTAACCCACAAATAATTATTTCCAACTCAAACCTTTGGTAGTAGTACTTCCATGTTTCTTTGGTAGCATCAAACTTCTCGAACTTGAAATGAGTTAAACTAAGTATGTGTAGTAGGTTGTTCCACTGTTAATGTAGATGATGTGTCGTCATTGTCATATTCCTCATGTCCGTGCAGCGCCATTATGTAACGTTATTACATTTAAATAGAATAAAATATATGAATGAAGAATCTTTTATTGTCAAACATTTATAACAAAAGTAACAAGTAAACAAATATTGTTTTTATGAAAACATCTGATTGAATTAAATTAAAGAACAGTATTTCAGCATACATAACAATTAGTACATTAGTGTTTTATTATATCTTTAAAACATTTTGTAGAGCTTAAAAACAAATAAATTAGTTCATAAAAATGTTTTTTACAGTTATTGGTTACGGAGAAAATTAAAAAATGCAAATTAAAAATTGCCATGTTATTCTAATAGCAAAGATTTTCAATAATTATTGTTTTTTCCATATTTATAGATACATTTTTATGAAATTGGGTAAATTTATTTGTTTCTTATCATACTATTATTATTTTATTAAAAGATATACTATATTACCCTCCCTGTAGCAGCAAACCTAGGTACCAGTTAAACCTAATGTTATTTAAATAGGTTTCTGAAAATCAAATCAAGCAAATGGAAATTCGCTTAGTCTGCAGGTTTGCTGAGGTGGGGGTATTTTTATTCATACTTTCATTTATTTTCTATTAATAGCAAATAAACTGGCATACTCTCTAAATCAATACGGTGTTTGCTGCAAACAACAATATTGTGGAAATATTGAAAAAAAAACCACAATCTTAATACATCTTTGGAAAATTTCTTTATTTTGAAGGTCTGTATTTTGACCATTATTTACGCTACATACTTGCTGTTGGGCTTAAACTGTCACAAATCTATCCTCGTTTAATTATATAAAGTAATACTTTCAGTAAAATCAACTGTTCGCGAGATAGAGTGAAAACCCACAGGAATGGGAAGATTTTTGCTATTTCGTTAACAAGTGGCGCGCCCCGCGGTGCACGGTGGTATCTCGAGGTGGATAACTTGGATTTTATGTTATGGACCCAACACTAACAACATATCCAAAAATCAGAACTACCCGTCCTTTTGCATACCACAATGTCTTATTTTACTGGACTATTACTCTAGTAATGTAAAATTGTTTTACCATTACAAAATTTCATATCTTGAATTCCTATTTGTTTTTGGACTTGACATACAAAAAGTTGTAGCTGGCACTTTGAAGCGTACAATTTTCCATCGTCTCCGCAAACCATTTCCTGTAAAAAAGATAAATTAAAGGTTTACTATAGACTAATTAACACAAGTAGACTTTTCATCACATTGTAAATAATTTGAAGCTTGTTTTTCGTGTCTAGTTCATGCTGGTGACACTAAGCACTAGTGTCACAAAATTTAATTTATATTTTTTTTTTTTGTTATTTTAGATTAATGCTTTACTGTGTTACCTGTGAGACACATTATTGTTCATGATTGAATCGTTTTAATTGGTTAAACAAGGTTTTAAATCTACAAGAAAAAATTGTAAACAAACAGGTTTTTGTTTGTTCATCCTAGCCGCACCAAACAAAACTAACAATAGAAAACTTTCTTCAGCTGATCCACAAGGATGACACATCTACAGTTGGATTTTTTTTTAGCTATAAGCGGTTAAGTTGTGGCGGAATATCTTGGATGAGCCTTTTTTTTTGTATTGTGATAATGTGTCCAGACTTGTAAAATTTTGAGGTTAAATAATTACAAACAAACTGGTATGATGTCAATTTGTACCTTGTTGTACTACTTACGAAAGATGGCTCATTTAAGATAACAGTACCTGGGGACCGAGCTTTGCTCGGGGAAAATCATAAATTTACTCTGAAAGCAGTCTTAGTATTGCAGATACATGAATCCATTCCCCACACTCCGCGCTACTAGCCTTTTTACTAATTCTTTCACCATTTCCTGTGTCGTGGACATGTTTCCATCTCTTCTCATAGCATTTCAGTATTGCAGATGCATTATTCTAACTGCTACAAACTGTTTCCAGTTCCCACACTCCATACTGCTCGCCTTTTCTACTTCCTTCACCCCTTCCTGAGTCGCGGACCTGTTTCCCTCCCATCCCATAGCATTTTAGGATTGCAGAGACCGTAATCTAATTGTCATAAACAGTTCCCACACTCCAGACTGCACGCCTTAACTACTTCCTTCACTTCCTTTCCTGCGTCTCGGACCTGTTTTCCTCCCTTCCCATAGCATTTTTGGATTGCAGATACCTTAATCTAATCGTCAAACAGTTCCCACACTCCGGACTGCTCGCCTTTACTACTTCCTTCATCACTTCCTAGCTGTGTCGCGGACCTGTTTCCCCCCTTCCCATAGCATTTTAGGATTGTAGATACCTTAATCTAATCATCATAAACAGTTCCCACACTCCAGACTGCTCGCCTTTACTACTTCCTTCATCACTTCCTGCGTCGCGGACCTTTTTCCCTCACTTCCCATAGCATTTTAGGATTGTAGATACCTTAATCTAATCGTCATAAACAGTTCCCACACTCCGGACTTCTCGCCTTTACTACTTCCTTCATCACTTCCTACTTCGCGGACCTGTTTCCTTCCCTTCCCATAGCATTAAAGGATTGCAGATACCTTAATCTAATCGTAATAAACAGTTCCCACACTCCAGACTGCTCGCCCTTACTATTTCCTTCACCACTTCCTGCGTCGCAGACCTGTTTTCCTCCCTTCCCATAACATTTTTGGATTGCAGATACCTTAATCTAATCTTCATAAACACTTCCCACACTCCAGACTGCTCACCTTTACTATTTCCGTCATTACTTCTGTGACGCAAGCGCCACAGCTTCATGGCGTAAGGCGCTAGCATGCCGTTCAACCGCTCTTTTTCTTGGACCAATTTTTTCTAAGCTCAGCCGGCTCGTCTCTTCTCTCGCCCCTGTCTGCCCGCTGCCGTGATTTGACGAACTTCGAGTCTTCAAACTTCGTACAGAATGAACAATAATCAAGCTAAGTTAACTTATTAGTTTAAGTAAAATATTAAAATATGTTAGGCTAGAAGTAAATCTCAGGGGGGGAAGCCACTGGCTTCGCAGGTACGCTGGAAAATGTAGTAAATAACTATCAAGTTTGATTCCGCCTAACGGAATCAAACAATCCCTTTCATGTTTCGAAGCCACATGTTCCAAGAGATAAAATTGCCGGTTAGAGGGGTTGCTTGGTTCATCTACCAGTTACAATTCAACCAATTCTTGCTTCAATCAGGTTTTTCTTATATATATTTATATATTAGTTTGGAAGGTGTCAACCAAAATTAGGGTATTTAAGTGTGTTAGTTAAATAAGTGTAATCAAAGCTGGCTTGGGCTGTCTTCCTGGTCTGGGTAAAAGGTCCAATTCTCTGGGCCCCCATCACACTTTTCCAGTAATCCAAGGTAATACTGACAACCAGAATAGTTTAAAACCATATCACAAGACTACCACCACCACAAATGGTAGCAGAGCGTGGTTGTCAGAGGTGCAAACAAGCCCCCAACACCAAGGTCGGAAGACTCGCTTCTGAAATCGTTACCAAACCTTGGGAAAAAATTTTCATTGACCACATTGGACCCCTTCCATTGTCCGCCAACCGCAATAGATACATTCTCACCATTGTAGACTCTTTTTCAAAATTTTGCTTCATGATCCCAGTTAGGAACACCAGGGCGGAAACAACTGTCACGGTGCTCAACAGACAAGTTTTTGCAATATTTGGCCCACCCAAATTTTTGGTTTCTGATAATGTTTCACATTTCAAGTCTGTTACCGTCAAGAACCTCTGTATGGGTCTGGGAATCCAACACATATACACCAGCCCATACTATCCCAACCCCTCGCACGCCGAGAGGGTAAACAAACAGATCAAAATTGCCATCCGAATCTTCCACCATCAACATCAAAGGCTATGGGACCAGGAACTCCACTGGTTCCAAATAGCTTTCAATTCAGCCATTCATGAATCCACCAAGACTTCCCCTGCCCGTTTATTCCTAGGTAGACACCTACATCATCCCTTAGAACTTCATTGGAACCTAGACAAATTAGTCGACGAGCAATGCACCCCACAATCCTCCCACGACGAGTGGAGTAGGGCCGTCGAAAACCTATCAAAAGCTAGACAGCAGAGACAACAGAAATACGACTTAAACAGACTGCCCAACCCTTATAAATCTGGGGATTGGGTAATGTTTAAGGAACACCACATCAGTAGGGCCGCCAATGCAATCAATAGTAAGCTTTTACCAGTCTGGTCCAAACCTTGTGTAATAGAGTCCTTTTCATCACCAGTGACAGCACGATTACTAAATCCCACAACAGGTAAATTTATCAGAAACGCACATGTCTCACAACTAAAAAGGTTTTTCCAGCCAAGTTTTTAGAAGTTTTCCAATTACCCAGACCAGGAATGCAGCACCATTGTGATATTAGGCTAAGTCTTCTACCCTCTGTCTCTTAAACCGCCAGCGCATGGGGGACTAGTGAGTCTCAGGGTATCCTTCCCTCGGATGGGCTGCCCTACACGTCCCTTCCCCGTGCGTTGTCGGCCAATTCCCCCCTCCCCTTTTTCGTCTCCTTCACCCCTGCTGAGTTGTTTTAACCTTTTTTTATGTAAGAATCACTTCCCTGCGGGTGTGTACATTTTATGTTTTGTTTTTTTATTTTTACCCCGCATGAAAGGGCTCAGTAGTGGCACCTTCTGTGGCGACCTTGATATCAGTCGAGTGAAGGAAGACAATCTCTTGCTCTTTTTCTTTCATACCCTCCTCCACCTTTTCTTTTCCCTTTAGCTTAATTAGTCACTAGTGGTAGCAGTAGTTAGGTCTTAGGGAAACTAGTATAGTTAAGCAGCAAAAGAAATTAAATTTGGTTTTCTTCAATACAAAAATCAAGAAATCGTTATCTACCAAACGGAAGTCGCAGCACGGTTCTCAATAGATTCCGCGGTTTTCCATCGTGGCAAGCGACGGCAATCTTTTTTTCTCGTTCTAAAATTGCATGCGTTGATAAGAAGAAAAAAAAAAAAAAAAAAAAAAAAAAAAAAAATGTTTTGTATCCTTCTCACCTTCCAAACCTAAACACACTTACAAAACCACAAAAGCTCTCGCGACCCTCACCAGTCTGACCTTGGTTCACCACGCCACTGTGAGTCTTAAACTCTCGGTTTCCCAAACAGATTCAGACCAACCCTGTCAGTGATCGGACCACCGCCTTGCCCACTGACCCTTCACACCTTCACTTGAACGACAGTCTCCCTTTCAACCTTTTCTCTTTACACCAATCAAAGCACAATACTACGGTAATACGCCCCAATTCAGTAAAAGCTGAGTCTTAACATCTGCACAATCAAAGAAAAAAAAAAAAAAAAAAAAAAAAAAAAAAAAAAACATAAGAATAAGACAACAAATAATAAGAAGAAAGCTTATAATGAAAATAAAAACTTATATGCATCATCAAAGCACTTCAGCACGAACTTCATCATCATGATAGTGGGCTACAACACTACCCGAGAAACAAACGAGTCGTCTGTGGCTACTCAACTCCCTAGCGGTCGGAACCTGAATTAACACCATGGTCTACAATTGGTCTCTGACAGCACAACTCACTATTGGTCAGCTCCTGTGCGGACCCCTGAGATCAGCGAGTTGGAAAAACGTCTTGGTCTCTGCAATTGTGGCTCTGCCAAATCTCAACACACTTCATCAGTACCTAAGCCAAGTGTCATCTCGCCATACTTCATCAGACGATCTGCACATCATCCTCGGCTCATCGCCAAGACTGCTAGGGCCACTTCTCACTCTTCCCGCCAGACACACCGAACTCGCCCGTGTTGCTCCACTAACCTTGATCCACAAAGCATTATAAAAATAAAATAATAAAAAAAAAAAAAAAAAAAAAAAAAAAAAAAACTCTTTGTGCGTGCAGATGTCCCCTTTTTTTCCAACAAAAGAAGAAACCCTCAAGTTTACAGGATAGTATGACTGTCTTTCACCCAATGCCTACCTTTTTCGCAGGGGGGGTGGACTCCCATCCCTGTCGGGTTGGTCAACCAAAATTAGCTTCACACCCCAATGTTTTGCGATGGATGAACCAAGCCGAGCCAGTCTGGTTGGGCGGTTTTAAGCTTCCCTCATTGTTTCTCGGCTTCCTTGGAATCCAAACCGTGTCAAGATATCTAAGGACCCAGAAACGAAGATGAAGGGAGGCGTTTCGACCAAAAAACTCACCTTTCACACAACTTGTCACACCTCCCACTCCATTCACCTACCTCAAAAAAAAAAAAAAAAAAAAAATCTTTTGCGCGAGGGGGGGTGGTTGTGACGCAAGCGCCACAGCTTCATGGCGTAAGGCGCTAGCATGCCGTTCAACCGCTCTTTTTCTTGGACCAATTTTTTCTAAGCTCAGCCGGCTCGTCTCTTCTCTCGCCCCTGTCTGCCCGCTGCCGTGATTTGACGAACTTCGAGTCTTCAAACTTCGTACAGAATGAACAATAATCAAGCTAAGTTAACTTATTAGTTTAAGTAAAATATTAAAATATGTTAGGCTAGAAGTAAATCTCAGGGGGGGAAGCCACTGGCTTCGCAGGTACGCTGGAAAATGTAGTAAATAACTATCAAGTTTGATTCCGCCTAACGGAATCAAACAATCCCTTTCATGTTTCGAAGCCACATGTTCCAAGAGATAAAATTGCCGGTTAGAGGGGTTGCTTGGTTCATCTACCAGTTACAATTCAACCAATTCTTGCTTCAATCAGGTTTTTCTTATATATATTTATATATTAGTTTGGAAGGTGTCAACCAAAATTAGGGTATTTAAGTGTGTTAGTTAAATAAGTGTAATCAAAGCTGGCTTGGGCTGTCTTCCTGGTCTGGGTAAAAGGTCCAATTCTCTGGGCCCCCATCACACTTTTCCAGTAATCCAAGGTAATACTGACAACCAGAATAGTTTAAAACCATATCACAAGACTACCACCACCACACTTCCTTTGTCAGGGACCTGTTTTCCTCCCTTCCCATAGCATTTTAGGATTGTAGATACCTTAATCTAATCGTCATAAACAGTTCCCACACTCCAGACTGCTCGCCTTTACTACTTCCTTCACCACTTCCTGCGTTGCGGACCTTTTTCCCTCCCTTTTCATAGCATTTTAGGATTGTAGATACCTTAATCTAATCGTCATTATCACTTCCCACACTCCGGACTGCTCGGCTTTACTACTTCCTTCATCACTTCCTACGTCACGGACCTGTTTCCTTCCCTTCCCATAGCATTTTAGGATTGTAGATACCTTAATCTAATCGTCATAAACAGTTCCCACAATCCGGACTGCTTGCCTTTACTACTTCCTTAATCACTTCCTACGTCGCAGACCTGTTTCCTTCCCTTCCCATAGCATTTAAGGATTGCAGATACCGTAATCTAATCGTCATAAACAGATCCCACACTCCACACTGATACCCTTGACTACAATGTATCAAGTAATCTTTAGTATAATCTTTGTTCAATAGTAACAACTGATGTTTTTCCTTTTGTACTATATTTTTAATTTGCTAGTGTACTGTGGACAGACAACTTTCAAGTATTTTGTTTACTTTTTCCTTGTTATTTAATTCAGCCAAGATGGTTACTTAGCAAACCATTAGACTAATGTTTAAAAAATGTTCCTTTCAGTTTCATTTTTCTACGTAATTAGAATTTTGTTGGCAGTTATAACTGCAGTAAACTCGTTTTATGGCCAAAAATTAACTATTTACAAGATTTGAAGAAAATCGTTGGAGACGTTTACAAAATCTTTCTGCAAGCAAACAATCAAGCATACATACAAGCAAACATTGCTCGATGCTCGTATTAGAGTATAGGATTTTAATCAATTTGTCTGATTTATAAGAAAACATTCAGTATTTAGGCTACTGCTTTTAATAAACCAAACTCGAATCTTGCTTCTTTGGCCTATCCTAAAGTTATCCTGTTTGGTACTTGGTAAACTTTGCATTAGTGAAATTAATTTCACTATTTTTAGCAATCCGATTAACTGTTAATTATATCATTTAAATGGGTCGAAACGTTATTCTATAAAGGTGTATATTGTCATCTCGAGAGTATTTAATTCTGGCCCCTAACTTGAAACCCTTAAAAGGTGGTTTATATTTATATGGAGATTTCCTAGTCTTTATTATGTCCCAACAGTTTATCATGTGTATGGCAGTCACAAAGTAACTACATTATTCTATATAATGATCGACATTAATTTTGCATGAAGATTAAATGTTTTAATATTTACTCATGTTAATTATTTTCAAAGAAACCACACTTATAATTTAAAGACAACGATTTAATAACTTATTCATTAGTTGATTTGGAATTATAGAACAGTAAAACTTATCGAAGTTTAATGTAGTTCTTCAAGAAGAATTTGATGAAGCTAATGCTCTTTATGACGTACCTATTAGAACAAAGATATTCAATGAGTTGGTAGAAATTGATAAGGAAGAAGTATTCAATCTAATGCTTGAAGAAAGTTTCCAAAGTTCCCAGTCTTTTTTTTACTATTGTGCAATAGTGTAGTAATATTAATTTGGTCAATACCTGCAAGCTCTCCTGTGGACAAGTTTGTCTACAGACACATTGGGGCCCGTCTGGTGTTGCTTCACAGACAGCTCCTAGATAGCAACTGATGTCCTCACACATGGAGATGGAACTACTTTCTGATTCTGGTAAACATAGAGAGTATGCGCTTAAGTAAATGGACTTTAAAAGGTTATCAGTCATTTTTAAGAATTAAGGATAGAAATACGTTTTGGTAGAAAAAAAGTAGATGAAAACACCTGGATTGTCTCTGTCTGGAACACAAATGCGCTTAAATTGTAAGACCTTATGTTCAAATTTGTGTCAAACACAGGACTTCAAAATGTTTACATGAAAACTTCGGCAAATATCCTAGTTATCATTTTGCCTTGTAAAGATATCCTAACAATAAATGAAAAAAAAAAATAGTCGGCCTACATAATTTTAAACTATATATTTTTTTACTGATATATACAAGGCTTTCCCTTGTTTAGTGCAAACAACCACCTGTGTATGACTGACTCACATTAGCGTCACTAAATAAATTGTCATTAGCCATGCGTAAACAGGCAACTCACAGCAAGTTCTGTTAGTCTAACTCCATTTCATAGTTACAGAAGCCACCATTGCTGTGTTTCTCATTTATTTGTATGGTACTGTGTACAAATTTGTGGAAAATTATATAATATATTTTGTTATTAACATTGGATAGTTTGGACAAGAATCTGGGACCAAAGAGTCTAAACATAAAGGAGTTTACTGTACTAAATAAACAAATGCATATTTCCAGGGACATGAATGTTAATTATATACAATATCTCAACTAAATTCAACCTACAACTTTTCACTCAATACTTCCATTTTTCTAGGTACACTCAGTACTATCATCATACATTTTGAAATAGCAACAACACATAGGTGAAGGTTTCAAGCTATGAATACTAGATGAGTAAAGAATTATGAGAGATTATCTGTAGCCTACAGCTTGTTTACTGACTAAGATCTGTAGTTGAGGACAGCAGGTCCATATTAGTACGATCAAAAAGATAATGACTGGTTCTCAAAATCAAATTTGCAAACTCGTGACCTTTCGATTGTCAGGTGAGCAACAAACTGACAAAGCTGTCCAGCTCAACTTCATTAATAACCACCCTACATGTCTTAGACAAAGATTCAGATGAACTTACTAAACATTTTTAACTAATGGAAGGAAGAGACTTAGCGCAAGTACCATGTGGTGATACCTGTGGAGCACCCAGCATCTGTTAGAGTGAGGTGAGGCTCTACACAACTGTCACATTTGTGGCCCTGTACTCCAGCCTTGCACACACACCGGCCTGTCATCTGCTCACAGTCCTCTCGCACGGAGCCCAGCGGCGAACAGTCACACACTAACACAACAACAGACAATAGGGTTAGATATGTGGCCCTGTACTCCAGCCTTGCACACACACCGGCCTGTCATCTGCTCACAGTCCTCTCGCACGGAGCCCAGCGGCGAACAGTAACACACTAACACAACAACAGAAAATAGGGTTATATATGTGGCCCTGTACTCCAGCCTTGCACACACACCAGCCTGTTATCTGCTCACAGTCCTCTCGCACGGAGCCCAGCGGCGAACAGTCACACACTAACACAACAGACAATAGTGTTAGATATGTGGCCCTGTACTCAAGCCTTGCACACACACCGGCCTGTCATCTGCTCACAGTCCTCTCGCACGGAGCCCAGTGGCGAACAGTCACACACTAACACAACAACAGACAATAGTGTTAGATTTGTGGACCTGTACTCCAGCCTTGCACACACACCGGCCTGTTATCTGCTCACAGTCCTCTCGCACGGAGCCCAGCGGCGAACAGTCACACACTAACACAACAGACAGAGACAATAGTGTTAGATTTGTGACCCTGTACTCCAGGCTTGCACACCCACGGCCTCCTTTACACACCGGCCTGTTTTCGCTCACAGTCCTCTCGCACGGAGCCCAGCGGCGAACAGTCACACACTAACACAACAACAGACAATAGTGTTAGATTTGTGACCCTGTACTCCAGGCTTGCACACACACTGGCCTGTCATCTGCTCACAGTCCTCTTGCACAGAGCCCTGCGGCAAACAGACATAGTGTTAGATTTGATCCTAATGAAGTGCAGGTGTATTGAATGTTTGCAAGAAATATTTCCTTTGGCTATCTTACAACTTGTGAGAGGATAGATAACTATCATATTTTTGTGATGTAAGTTTTGTATGTATGGAGTATTTGTATTTTTTTTTTAATTTTGAATGGTTTATTTTATGATCTTACAGTTTGATAGGTTTTTGTAAGTGCAAGAGCATTTGATGGAGGAATTTTGTCATGATGAAAGCATTTTTAGATGTAAACTCTTTTAATATGTATTCTTAAATCAAAACTATTTCCTAAATTCCTGTAAACACTTTAGTGAAAATTATATAATCGCATTACTGTACATGCAATGGTTTTAAAATGTCTTTCTTATGTGTCTTAAAAAACTTAAAATCATTTTATCATATTGCTGATTAATCCATAATCAAAATAAACGTACAAAAAATTACATAACTGTTAAAAGGCCTTTTGAGATACTGAATTATTTATTTCATGGCGTTTATGAAAAAAAATATTTCTCACCAATGTGGACGATTAATCATTAGTTCTGCGTTTTAAGACACCAATCAGTAAGTTAACTTACACAGACAGCCCTGATAGCCACTGCTGATCTTGGGCAGTCCCCAGTATCCTGGAAGACAACGATCACACTTGAGTCCTCCGACACCAGGCTTACACTGGCATTGGTCTGAGTCTCCTACACACGCCTCTGAGTACGAGCCTGGACAGAGTGACAAAGCTATAAAATGTACTTTTAAAATTACAGTATAGACACCTACCTATTTAAATGGAAGAAAAAAGAGGGATAGATATAATTTTGAATAATATTCTTAATTTGATGAAGTTAAAATTTTTTATAGTATAGTGAAATTTATAGCTTATTTATATCTAAGTACCAAATTCTCTACATCAAAGAATTGATTCAAACAATATGATTTAAGACAAGTTTTGGTTATGATCGCTGAAAATGCATCTTATTGAACATAAACACCATGATGTTTACGAGCTAGATTACCAATCTTGTTGCAGTCACATAAGGATGGACATCCGAGGTGGTCAGGTCCCTGGGCAGGAGTTTTTTTGTCGGGACAACAACCATACCATGAATCCTGGCAACTCTTCAGATAGCCTCCAACCTCTGAAACAGTTACTACGGTAGTTAGTGAATTTCCTGGAAAGATAAGGCATTGACATAATGACCTACACTGTAAAACTTACCACAATATAGAAAAGTAGCAAACAGGTTCAGCATCAGCCCTTTTGTATAGGCAATCTACAAATTAAAAAATGAACTCTTAATATACAGTACCATTTGCTACTTTTGATGATTGTTATAAGTTAAAAGATTTTACCAACCTTTAGGGCAGCAGCGAGCAAAGTGAGGAGTTTGATGACAGTAGCTGTCTAATGGACAGTCTTGTCTATTAGGGCCACTGCCACAGTCAATCTCTTCTCCTGTTTCTGGGTCTATCACAGCTCCTTCTCCATTACAAGGCTTCACCTCCATTCCTTTAACATATAGCTTTTAGTAGAGTTGGATAGTTGGTAAGACATCTTCTCAGGGTTCTAATTATCTGATTGTTTGGCTTATAGAGATCATGTTCATGATAAGTGTTCCAATGTTATGGTTACAATGTACATAAGTAGTAATTTAGTTTATATTAAAAAATTTTAATGACGATTTTTTACTTGTACAAATTGTTCACGAATGTTTCAAAACGTTCCTTACTTTATGAAAAGCTCTTGTATCAATTTTTGTGTGTGTAGATTTTATTTCATCCATCAAAATAGAAAATTACCAGAAAACAAACTCTACCTCTGCACAGTTCTAGTGGTCTCAGCCTAATCTCCCTCTGTCTCTGGCAGGCTTCCATCCTCATGGCACAGGATGAGTTGTACATGCGGAAGTCTGAGCCACAAATGTGTTGGGAAGTGTCAAATGAGCAATCGAGCAGACATGAGCACCGAGGAAAGCCGTCTGTCCCTACCTCACAGGTTGCATCGTACTCACAGTGTATGTCAAGGCAGGGGTTGCGAGCAGTGGGGACGAGTGAGGCAGCACTGGGTGTCGGCTCTGGAAAACGTTGGTTTTCTTTATAGTTTAAAATTGTTTGTAGCAAGGGTGTGTTATTGTAATAGTTCAATGATTTTACAGAATTACTACGTATAAACTGACTGGATCCAGCTGTTTATTAGTAGCTTTTACGTGATGGGCTTTAAATAGTGATACAACTAGACATTCAATCATAGACTGACCACTGACCAACCTCAAGTAGACTTCTCATCCCATTGTAAATTTGAAGCTAGATTTTCGGGTCTAGTTCATGTCCGGTGACACTGGGCGTTAGTGTCAACGACATTTTGTTTATATTATTTTAGGGTGTTAATTCCATGATTTGTGCTTTACTGTTTGGTTACATAACTAGGGTACGAGCTACTGTTGATGATTATATAGTTTTATTGGGCTAAACGAGGTTTTAAATGGATGAAATAACAAGAAACAAAACACAATCCCTACAGTGCAAGGGAGAATTAACAATGAAATTGACTTCAGCTGTTTCATAAGGATGAGAAATCTACTTATATGTTTACATTTAAGGAGTTGCTCTTTTTAGGGAGTATGTTTTATCTATGATTCCATCCTCATGTAAAATTTGTTGCCAGGTTATAATACAATTGTCTTAGTTGATGTGAGCCACCGACAGATTGTGATAATCTAAATTACTAAATTCTGTCAAATACACACACCTTTTTAGCCAAACATATGGATTGCGCTATGTTGAGCTATAGCAACTGTTATGACCCATCAACTTGGTCAGCAACAAAAGATAAGGTCCAAAATAGAATTTAAGACACTAGCACATTCTGTGACTGGCTCACACAATGTATAAAATATATAATATATATAATGATATAATAATATATATAACGTACCTTCGCCGCAGCAAACCTGCAGACTTAGCGAATTTCAATTTGTCCGATTTAATTTTCAATTAAATCTTTTCAAATAACATTAGGTTTAACGAGTACCTAGGTTTGCTGCCTACAGGGAGGTTAATAAAGTGTGTTTTTTTTATAAAATATTAGTAGCTTAGTATAAAATAAATATATTTGCCAAGTTTGGTCCAAATATCCATAAACAAACAAACTACAACTGTTTACTTATTCTCCATAAGAATAACATGGGAATTTTACAATTTTCTCCGTAACCAATAATCATACAAAAACACTTCAATATACTAAATTATTTGTTTTTTTAAGCTCTTCAAAACAGTTTAGAGAAAATTTGGGAAAAATTATGTTTAGAGGGTCAAAAACGAGAAAAACCAATTTTTACCCCATAAAACCCTGTTCCCTTTGGTCCGATCATGCTGGTTCGCGAACTCGTCCTAAGTAACGTAGGTTTACACGTTTTCATCGAAATCGGATAATTTTTGCTCGAGTTATCGTGCTAACGGATACACACACACACACACACATATATATATATATATTTATGGATTTGAATGGATAGTGTTTTTGGCTTCTAGGGACATTAAAATGAGAAAGTAAATCGGTCCCGGGTCCAAGTCTTACCATGAGACCTACGGTAATAGCTTATTCCCTATATGGGAAATTCACAAAAAAAATATGACAGCTGGACCATATAGATGGGATGTCTACCTCAGTATCCAATAGTCAATGGTGATGGGCTTACCAAATAACTAGCTGATTTTATTAGTTAATGTTAGTTGTAAGTTATTGCTGCTCAAGGCAACTAACACATATTTCACTCTTTCTCAAACTTAGCTTAAAACGTTGTTTAAGATAAAGGAGCTTAAGCTTTGTTTAAGATAAAGGTAGAATGGAATAATTTTGTGAACACACATAGCTCCTAATTAGTACATATTTTTAAAGATAGGAAACCTAAACATAGTTTTAATTTGTAGTGTGAAAGCCCTCATGTTCTTATTAACACTACTAAAAATTTACCCGTACAGTTTTTCTTGCAAGGGGAAACCATATAATGTGAAAGGGAGGCATTTCATAAAACTAATATCTATATCAAAACAGTGAATTAATAATAATTATTATAACCAAAATAGCTGTAGTACTCACTTAATGGGACAGTTTTGAATTTCACATTACAAGCTCCAAAAAATATCACAGTCAGCAGAACGGGAGTTTCGAGAGCACATGATTGTTTCTGCATTTCACACTCGTTTTTGTAAGTCACCATGTTGGAAGCGCAGACAGGCTCCTCTAGATCCTCTGGACATTCTGTAGGACAGACGCAGACTCCACTTTTGCAGCGAGCTCCATACTTACACACTACCTCAGCACACACCTCTGTAACATAGTATAACACTTGTACAGTAAGTCAACATGTTGGAGGCGCAGACAGGCTCCTCTAGATCATCTGGACATTCTGTAGGACAGACGCAGACTCCACCTTTGCAGCGAGCTTCATACTTACACACTACCTCAGCACACAGCTCTGTAACATACTATAACACTTGTACAGTAAGTCAACATGTTGGAGGTGAAGACAGGCTTCTCTAGATCATCTGGACATTCTGTAGGACAGACGCAGACTCCACCTTTGCAGCAAGCTTCATACTTACACACTACCTCAGCACACAGCTCTGTAACATACTATAACACTTGTACAGTAAGTCAACATGTTGGAGGCGCAGACAGGCTCCTCTAGATCATCTGGACATTCTGTAGGACAGACGCAAACTCCACCTTTGCAGCGAGCTTCATACTTACACACTACCTCAGCACACAGCTCTGTAACATACTATAACACTTGTACAGTAAGTCAACATGTTGGAGGCGCAGACAGGCTCCTCTAGATCATCTGGACATTCTGTAGGACAGACGTAGACTCCACCTTTGCAGCGAGCTTCATACTTACACACTACCTCAGCACACAGCTCTGTAACATAGTGGAACACATGTACAGTAAGTCACCATGTTGGAGGCGCAGACAGGCTCCTCTAGATCATCTGGACATTCTGTAGGACAGACGCAGACTCTATCTTTGCAGTGAGCTTCATACTTACACACTACCTCAGCCATACTTGGGAATAACGAATAGAAATTCTATCGAATAGCACTATTCATTAGTTTTTTTTGCTAACTTATATTTTATTCGTTTGTTTTTAAATTAACTAACTAATAACTTCTATCAGTTACTTTTTACGGGACTAACTACTAACTTCTAACTAGTTAGAATTTTCAACTAACTTTCCCAATTATGCGGAAGCATCTCAAATACTGGTTATTTATTTCACGTGATCAGTGAGGGTTGCGTGCGGCCGTGAGAGGTCAGTGCCCTTGTAGACAAACAACGCGGGGGGTGGGGAAAGAGAAAGTCAAAGTCCAGTTGCTTTGGAATGCAGTGGGCCTGTGGAAGGGTAGTGACGGCCATTATCAACACCCCAAGCACTGATGGGTGGGAAGGGGAAATGTTTGTTTGGTGATTGATATATCATCTCAAGTGTCAAAACATTGTCTTAGTTGATGTTCATTATCTGACAAGTTTTATGTCATTTGTTTATGTTGTAGTAATGTAAATAAATGTGACAATGTTTGATTAAAACACAAGTACCAGTGGACCGATCTTGCTCGAGGTGTTTGATTTGTTCAAGAGGTAAAAAATAGAGCTTATAAGCCTACAAATATTTTCAGTCTTACTACGATTAATTAAGTAGTAAAGTCAATTCGTTTTTGTTAGACATCCACTTATCCTCAATTTAGTCTACAAAACTTTTTAATTTGGACGATCAATCTATAAAATGTCCACAATAAGCTTCAATCAATATAAAACTCATGATACATAACATCTGTTATCTGACGACCGTTATTGCATTAAGTCACTGGGATCGTGGAAAGTTGCAACTATAATTACGGGATGGTGTAATAACGCATCAATTCGTGTGGTGCATCGTCGAAAAATACAAATCTCCTTGGCCTTTCCTTTAGATTTTTAGTTCAATGTCAGTGTATATTGTTTTGCAATAAAACACTTAATGTTTTTGAACAGTCGTAATTATCCCTTTGGTTAGTAAGACATCATACAATGCAAATGTATTATCATAGACTAAGCAACACAAGTAAGGGAGTATGATTTATCTATGGTATTATAGAAGCAATTTTCAATAGCATTGAAATTGGAGGAAATCGTAGGAGCCATTTTTTAAATCATATCTTGCGCAATCTTTACTCATATTATAGTATATATTAGTAACCAAGATGTGACATTTAAAAAATACTTAAAAACAACTGCCCAGTGAAAACTAAAACTAACTTTATTTTCTATAAGTTAGTTTTTCAACTAACTAATAACTTCTATCAGTTACTTTTTAAACTAACTAACTTATAACTTCTCAGTTACTTTTTACGGGACTAACTTATAACTTCTAACTAGTTAGAATTTTTGACTAACTTTCCCAACTATGACCTCAGCACACAGATTGTAACATAGTACTGTAAAAATTTGTCGTGACAATTTTCTATGACAATTTCTGTTTCTGTTTTCCTTTACTAGAAACAGTTGTATTTTGAGTGAATGAATCCATCCATAAAATCAAACCTGTACACATACAGCAAACAACATCGATAGGTTCTGTCTAACAACTGCATAAGATTGGAATGAAAATAATCCTACATTGGCTGATAAGTCCCACCAATGAGCTTACTAATAATTTGTATTGAAGAAGCTTTGTTCACGTGGTTTGTTCGTGGTTTGTGGTTGGTGGTGGAATAATTCCTAAAAAAAAATCTTGTTTTCATTAACATTCTATTTGATTGAAACAGGTAACATCAATCATGGTTATTCTATTAAACCATCAAAATGGCTCTTTTACGTACCGGTAGTGTGTAATATAGTTCAAACAGCAGTTTAAGTTTCAAGTTATACTTTTAAGTTATAATGATTTACATATAAAACTAGTTAAGCACTAAAAAGGAAAATATTTGTTTACTCTCAAGTAATGATAATATGTCTCAGTCTCACTGGATTATTTTACATACTGACCACAGTCCCCTTCATAGTCCAGTTCCACGGGTTGTTTGGTCTCACACACATACTTGCGCAGCTCACACAGACTGTCGTAGGTGATGCCGTCAGTGCCACATACTGGGTGGGGCGTGTCTTCCTTGAGGGAGGAAATCATCTATTAGTTTATTCATTTAATTGTTTTAAAATAACTATAAAAAATAACTACTAAATTGTATATTTGATAACTATACCTAATAAATATTTAATTCCATAATAATACCATATGAAACCAACTTACTATAATTCGTTCACAACATTTAGGTGGTTTGAGGGGTACTTCTCCACTACTTTTTTTCTTAACACGTTCCCTACCGACCATCACACTTCTCTGTAACTGAGGGATGAGTATAGTATGTAGCTAATGTGTTAATGTGTATGTTACACTGTTTGACGTTTTGGCAAACCTCAGTTGTTGTGTTTTATTGTTTTTAAGTTAGCATCAAGTGGAGCAGATAGATTTTTTACCCTAAAACCGCCTACATTTTGTAAATGGATCATAATATTTGTAGAAAAAAAATAAACACTAATTAGTCTTATAGCTATGGGTATAGTTTGTAAAATGTTTACAAAATAATCAAATTAAACTAAAGGTTTCTAAAAAAATTACAGAAATCCATACTCATCACTTGATAAAGAACATTTGTCACTTGTCCGCCAAGGTTTTGTTTGGGGGTAGATCTTTTTTAACATTAGAGCATTGATAAAATATCTATATCAACATATGTTGAACATATGGAATTTTAAGATTTTAATATAATTTTTAACTTTTTTCTTAGCTAATATTTTTATAAATATTTTTCAAATATATATTACCTTTGGACAGTTTTGGACACAAACACAGTGAGCCGATCCCTGTTTGTCTGTTTCACAGGTAGAAAAAAACCCACAGGTCTTTGTCTCACACCCATCTGCAAGTACACCAATCAAAATTTAAATACATGGGAAACTACAGAATATCAGTAAATCAAAGAGAATAACATGTAATCATATAGAAAATTGATTCTTGGCAAAGGAGCTTAGGCCAGAATAGGTTTTCTTTTTGGTCGGAAGAGCAGGCTTTACCTGTATAGTTGGTGAGTCTTCTCAATTGTGAACACATTTTATACACACACAAAACAGAATTTTCTTGGAAACGGACAATTTTGTCAATCACAAAGAAAGGAAGATTAATGGTGGCATGCCTATTTTTTGTGAGTATATAAATGTGTTTACTATTGATTGAGAAGACTCTTACCCAACCCACTTAGGTATACGAAAGGGGGTATGTTTTATCTATGATACAGGTAAGCGTTAGGGTACATTTTCATCAAAACATTTTACGTGAAAACATAATATTTTTACCTTCAGTAATTTTTAAACACATACAAATGTAATCATCCCTCAAAATCTCATCAAGTAGATAAGCAACGGACAAGAGAATTCTGTAAGTAAGTTACAGTTCTATGCATAACGTTACCACGGTAATACAAAGACAAAGGCCTTAGGCGAATGCTTTGCATAATTACAACACAGCTCATGCTATGTCCAACCCTAACCCTGTCTGTCCTTTAGTTAGCTCACTTGGAAATATGTGGATTAGGTAGGTTGTTTAGCAGAGTAGGTAAGTAATCATATACAACAGCATAATATAAAAAAAAACTTACAAAACAGTATTGCAATTGGTTTTACTTTATTTCAGGTTATCGTTTATCATATCACATTCCGAGTAATGAATGTATTGTAAAACTATAAGTTGATGCAAATGCTTGAAAGAAACACTAACCAAACACATTTAGTTTTTTAAATTATGAATTAAAACGTGTTGACCGGTGACTTGTAAAAATTAACAAAGGAAACAAACAATGATTCGTTGAGCACTCTCACTTCATTCATCTTAGCCCTGAAATACACACCCTCTAATCTACAACATACACTTACTGCACACGCCATGATGGACAACCTCAATGTTCTTCATGAGTTGGCAGGAGGCGGCCCGTAGATGGCAGGGGCTGTGGTGAGTGTGACCGTCCGAGCCACACAGAGGGTCGTACACCAGTGGACACTCAGGACAAACACACACAGCTTCACCCTTCACCACCACACACTCCGCCCCTAGCTCACAGTTCATCTCCCTACAGCTGGTCGGTGAGTCTGAAAAAATATTATTTTTTAATACTACATTGATTAAATACAGGACGTAAGTTTCACAAGATGACTTTTCAACTTTGTACTGATTCAAGTAAGAAGTGACTTGAGTTAAAGCTGTGATTTTGAAGAAGGTAATTATAGATTGTTATGCTTTAAAGAATTTTTCTAACCTAGCTTTTGTTTGTAAAAGAACATTAATGTTAGAAGATGAGTGAAATGGATAATGAAAAATATTGTACGTAACCCCCTGTATATTGTCGGGTCAGGTAAAATCTTGTACGTTACACGTTACGTTACGCAAGAGCGTGTTTACATAACTTATGTGGATTATACATCTCGCTTCCGCTCGTTGCACAACATTTACCTGCATGATGTAAAAACGCTCTTACTACACTTGTAAGGTAAATAGCTATTACATGTTTTTTTTTGTGTTCATGTTTCCTATAACATGCCAAAATTAAATAAGAAAAACAACTGAAAAACAAATCAAACTTTAGTAAAAATGTAACTTCATAATTAAAATGGTATAATACCTGTTTCCGTCTGTGATCCTATATTTGTTGTATAGAGCAACCGGTTTCAAGGTTAACCGGTTGCTCTATACAACAAATATAGGATCACAGACGGAAACAGGTAATATTATACCATTTTAATATTCAAGAAGTGATCCTGGACCAAATAACATCAATAGAAAGTAACTTCATAAATAAGAACTTTTCATCTACTGTTTAATTTGATTGTATTCTGACAACATTCCAATTCAATCCTCATTAGACAATTCCTGCCAAGTCTGTTTTAGTTGAGGTTGATAATGTTTTAAAAGATAACCATCATCTAATATATGTAGGTACTGGTCTTAAACTGTTTGTTGTCCAATAATGTTGCTATTTTTTTTATTAAATTGTACTACAGTATCTAAAGTTTTTAAATAACTAGCCTTTTCCCATACTTCTTTCCCTATATCCAGCTTAAATTACCTATTTTAGAAATACCAAAGTGTTTGTTTTCAAACAATGTCGAAGAAAAATAAAATTCTTTTAATGGGGAATGTCACTCTCATAATTTACTTACCACATACTCCACTATAAAGCACAGAGACATTTTTTCTATCGAAGCAAGAAGACTTCCGAAGATGACATTCTGAGTCGTATGTTTTGCCATCTGAACCACACACCTAAACACAAATTTATAATGTGTATTTATAACTAAGTTAAACAAGGTACGGCACCATTTTACTTGTAAATTGAATAAGTAACCTGATAGGTCTTTTTAGAAATAGCTCTATATGTCTAATTTGGCCGAGACAGTTGATTAATTCAAAACATAAGCATTAATTAAAACTAGGAAAAACAACATCTCAACAATTGGTGCTATTCCATTGAAACACAGACCAAGGCCCCACTATAAAAAATTTCAAAGTTTATCCAGTGAGGCCTTTCACAGATGTATTGGAGCCTATAGTATCTTTTCTACAATACTATGCAAGTGTTTCAATTAAATACCTGTCTCACTATGGGCTCGCATTGGCTGATGCATTCACACTGAGCAATACCAAACTTGGAGATTGTGCACTCCTCTCCGAACTGACATTTGACTCCAGCGCAGGGGTTTATACCTGAGAAGACATGGAAAACTTTAAAACATTGGAACACTTAGGCCTACAGCCAAATCCAATAATATTTTGATTGTGATTTTTTTTATAAAAAGTGTCAAACTTCTTAAATCTAAAGGCTCAGGATTTTTACTTATTTCAGTGAATCTAATCAGATGCGAATATGAAAAATTGCCATCCTCCCAAAGAACACTTATTTTTTCTTCCATTTTTTAAGGGTAAGTACAGTGTCATGGTAACTTTATAATCCGTTCACAAAATTTAGGCGGTTGAAGAGGGATCAAGGTTGGCCTAAGATTGCCCTACCAATTTCTTTTTAGCTTAATGTATATATCAGCTGTCGGCTATCATTTCAAAACTTTGGTGAGGTGGATTGGGATGTAATAGCTTCCCCCCAAACCATCTAAATTTTGCGAACAGAGTATAGAACACGATGTCAATAATGCTATTTCAAAAATCAATTTTCAAACAAACCTGAACTACATGTTCCACGATATATGATTCGTAGAGCCTTCTTGCTCCGACACGCCTGTAGTCTGAGGGTACAATCCGAGGCGTATGTGAGACCATCACTGCCACACACCGGATCAATCTCCGACTCACAGACCTCTCCACAGTGACACATTGCTCCTCGGTCTTCATCTAGCTGACACACTTCGGGCGGAGGACATTCTAGCCTTGAACACGGGTCTGTAAATGACAACAGAAGGTACATGGGTTGTAAAAGAAAACTATGAAGAATAACCTGTAACACAATCGTCAATCCTACAGCAGGTATCACTTAGAACACTCTACCTGTTACCTCTGTAAATATTTCAAATGTCCTTTTCCACAGGCCCGCAGTTTGCATGTGATGATCTATAGGCCCGAGAGATGATTGCCCCCCTCTCCACCTACATTGAGAGTAATTTTTTCCTTACTTGCTCTTGCAACCCCAACAAACATAAAACATATTGCCCCTGGGCATAGGCCCACTGGTCTCATCCTGGCCACATAATCAAAAAGGTGTTTATATCAGGTTGTAATAGTTTTTTGTACTTTCAAATAAATACGTGTTTCACACCCCCCAGTAACAAACCTTTCTGAAAAACAGACAAAACCTACCACAATATCCCTCGTACTTGACGCTCACTAACAGATCCTGCTCGCAGGCGTGGCGGTGCATGTCGCACTGGTCGCGGTAGTCGCGGTTGTTGGTGCCGCAGACGGGGCCCAGACCCAGGGGTGACGGGGCCACGGGGCAGTGCTTGGGACAAAGGCATGTGGCTGAGCGACCGTCTGGGGCAGGTATACATGTAGATCCGGCAGGACACGACCTGCTGGCACATGGGTCCTGGGACTCTGCAACCAAGGAAAGTTCCCAAGTATACACAAATGTGTAAAGTATAATTATGGTAATCAAAACACTTTTTGCACACTTACGCACAACATGAAAGACTCAACAATATGTTTCTATTTCATTGCTTACAACCTGACTTTTATAAATGAATGTACCCTAGACATCTTTATGGACCAAACGTAACCAGTTTATACTTTGAATAATGTCAGTATCTTATTTCAACTATACGTTCATTTTCATATTGAAAAATGGTTAAGCTACATCTTGGGAATCGGATGTATCAATAGTCAAATATTCTAGACTAGCTGTGTGCCCGTTCTACGCACGGGGATCTTATCATAGTCAGTTTAAAACCTTCTTATATAAAGCACAGCAGTTGGTTTGCATACTTTCAGATATGCTGACAAAACTATTCCTTCGCAGATACAGTATCTGACAGTTTCAAGCCAAAACTAATGCTTCGCAATTAAATGTCACCCGGATCTTGTTGGTCCATATGTTATATCCAATGATTAAACTAAATAAACGGTATCAGCATTCTGACACATACTTTCTCCCATAAGTTTGTCAACAACCTTTATCATGTGTAAGCGGTGAGAGTAAATATACGGAAATGGGATTTGTACAATTTTGTTCAGAATTTAAAGGACTATAACATAATGGTTAAAAGTATTTAAGGTACTACCTCAACCTCTTAATTTAACACTTTATTCGGGTTGACATTTTAATTATCAAGGCGCTCTTGTCCTTTCCGTGAAACATTGAGAAACAAGGACATTAATGCGTTACCATCATACATACACACAAAAATACCGAACTTAATTAGGGAATCTGCTACGCTTTAAGGTACATATAAAAAGGTACATATAAAATTAGTACTTGAAATCTTTGTTAATGCCATAAAATTTGATCATAACAATTTATATTTGCTTGGACCGGAGATGACTCGAAATTCTGTCAAAATGCTATCTGAATCGGTTTGCTATATGAAATGAAGTACAGTAGGCCTACTATAGACGATTTAGATTGGTAATTTGTAATAAAAATTACCAAAATAGGCCACGAACTATTGATACATAAACAACGTTCAAAGTGTTTGAACAATTCATGATGGTTTGCTGAATAAATGTTTTACTAAAATGCGTTATAGTTTTCTTAGCATAAAATTTTGGAATCCAGACAGAAAAAGCAAAAATTATACAGTTAAGACATCAATTAAATTGAATAGGCCTACGCCTGTAATAAATAAGGTGCAACACCAACGATAACTAATTTGTAAATTACTGTAATGTGTTGGTACGTAAAAATGATTCTTGCTGCTACTAAAGGTTAAAAGGAAAAGAACCAGTACCATACCAAAAACCAACGTTTACAGTTAAGAACTGTAGTACAGCCGACCAATTATATGCGTTAATCAAGGTTATTGATCTCTTGGTTTTGGATTTTCTCGTAAAAAGTTATCGGCAATCAAAGTTATTTCCCATTAATTGCTTTATTTGTACACAACTCTTAATGTAAACTTATCGGTGTCAGTTTGAAAAAAAAACCTTATACAACATAACTTTCTGTTATTTAATAGATTACGTATTCTCTAAACAATGGTTGCTGGTATATATATTAACATTATAAGGAAATGTGACAAAAATTACACAACGTTGGGTTTTTGGACGTTTATAATTTTATTTCTTAAGTACCTAGGTAGGCCGTGTATTCTATGGAAAAGTACCGGTATCAAGGATCGTTGTCGAAAGGGTTGTTATAAATAATTGGGTAAGCATACGTACCACACGTACCCAAGAGAAGGGCTATGGGCCTATTGGCTGTATGGTCCAGCGATTGCATCACACGGTGAGTAGGAACTATTGACTTTATATAGTCAATGGTAGGAACAGAAAGTGACACATTGGAAAATCGAGTTCAGCATCATCCGTAAACCTCTGTTACAATCACCCACTGCAGTTGTAATTTTTTGCTTTACACTTTACACAACCGCCATTGAAGAGCCGTCAATGAGTGGAACATTGTTTCTAAGCTATTGGCGACGGTCATTAGTAAATTTAAGTTTCCCAGCCGTATACAACACTGATTCAATCTTGATTCAATGTCTTCTTTCTGGTTATCAAAACTCCAAAACAATTTTATACACATATTTCTGGTTCCTGACCTGGATGATGCCTAGTTATTTAATTTACGGTTACACTATATTATTCCACTTGCGATTAATTAAATCCTTTATGTAATAAAAACGTTTTTAATCTCACTTGGATGGGATTTGCCTTCAAAACGTGATCGGAAATGGTTGTGGTGTTTGTAAACAACATTTGTAAACATTTCAGTGACAGCTAGAAAAAATAATCTTGATCCGAACAGCTGTTCGTTGTTTCATAGATGATTATGTGATACAAATTGGAAGAAAACTTGACAAAAATCGCACAAAACTGCATTTTTGAACGGCCGTAATTTTAATTACAAAGTAGTGAGACCATATTTTAATGGCTAAAGACACTCTCGCCAATCCAGTGAATACATTAAAATGACTTGGGTCTTGATAGGTACTCTCGTTTTCCTGGAGAAGATTGCGTAAAATGCCATCTTGAGTGTGTCAGACAGACAGACAGACAGACAGACAGACAGACAGACAGACAGACAGAAATTTAGATGAGACTTGTTTCGGCTTCTTTAATGTATAAAACGTAAAAATAACCTAAAAATGTATGATTCTGAGCAATGTACAGACAAAACTCTAATTTTATTTATATAGAAGATAAACTACTCATATATTTCCTGTCCACTGACGTAACTAAGAAAATCAATAAGAGATGTCAGGCAGCTGGGAGAGGAGATCTTGCTAATCATCTATAAACAAAATTTTAAAGGCACATAGGCCTAAGCAAATGAAACAATAAATACATCAATTACATAAAACAAGTCAAGTGTATAGCTTTTTTAATTATGAAATAGGCCTGATGCATCATATTTCAATTGGTGGTTTGTAAATGAAACGGTTTATATCCCTGACTTCTGGAAATATTGATTTCCCGTCATCCTTACCACATATAGTTTATGTCCATAATCATTAGGGCAAAAGATTAAAAAAGTGTCATCTGTTTCTCGTTTCTGTATGCATTCATTGTGAAAACTATTAACTGCTGTTTATTAATTAACTAAAAGCTCGACTGATTTACTTCTCTAAAAATCATTTAAACATACCACACTCGCCAGGATGTTGGACCAGTATTGTCCGTTTGTGTGTGCAGGAGAACATCCTCAAGCTGCACATGTTGTCGTATGTGTTCCCGTCCGTACCACAGACAGGGGAGTAGCTCTGGGGACACTCTGCAGGACAGCGACACTCAGGAACACCTTCCATCCCTACCATGCACAACCCTCCATGGGAACAGTGCACATGCTCACACGGATCTGGAACAACAGATTTGGCAATTAGTCAAGTTTTGGGTGAAGCTAATAGTCGTCAAGTTTTTCTTAATATACAGCATCGGAAGTAAAACATAGATCTTGAACTAAAACTGGAACTTAGATTACTTCACCTGCCGTCTAATTCAGCTTCTCTCGAGCAGTGGCGTTGCTTGGTTAAATTCCAGGGGGGGGGGAGAAGCCTCAAATTTCCCAACTGCTTAACATAGATTTCCCAACTATTTTTTTTTAGAAATCAATTTCTGTACTATTTTTAAAAATCTACAAATTATTATACTACACTGCATTAACATTCAATTCAGTATTTATAAACTTGCATTAACAAAACATAGCTAGTTTTACATATATACAAAATTTCTAAAACTTCTACCAATTCATAATGAAATGTTATGACTTCAAAAAACTTGAACAAGTAATGTTTCAAAAAACTTTACAAACCATTGTGGTAGCAGACGTAGCAGTGTAAAATTTTAGGGATATAAAATGAGCCTCAGAGTACAAAGTAGTATAGAAAAAATATTTTATTACAAAATAATTAAACTAAAATACTTTTAGAAGTTAAAATCAACATTTTAACATTCATAAAACTTACAACTAGGGTAGGCCTAAACAAGTTTGTAATGATGAAATATTAATATCAGTGTTGTGAATAATATTATTCTAGTCTAGAAAAGAATAAACCTAAAATAAGACTCGACTCGTATAAAATAAAAACATTCAACTTGGTTGATAATAAACTTATACATACAATAAAAATGTTAACCTTCATCTTCATCAAACTAGAACTTAAACAAAAATCTAACTTAGAGTGATAGTCAAACATCAAATTTTAGGCTATTTTTTGTCCACGTAGATCTGTTTCAGAGTAATTAGTTGATTCATTTTTGTAAATCCTTAATTAGGAATGATACATAACTTGTGTAGATTTTTTAAATATATTCAGATAATAAATATTGCATTTAGGTTATTAAAAAATAAGAGTTTTAAAGGTAATACAGATTCCCAAAACCTATCTTTAATGTTATTTTAATCTGCTTATTAGCAAGTACTCCGGTCAGTTAGCCTGCTCCAAATACCACAAAAGGGGTGTAAAATATATTTCATGTGACTGACGTGAAAAATATTTTTGAATTTCTTGTAAACACTAACAAACAACATAATTAAACAGAAGGGCTACATTGATTGCACTTTCAAAATTCAAACTCGCAGACGAATCATTCAGAATCATCAACACAGGACAGGATCAAGGTAGCCAACATAGTCCAATAAGGAACAAAAATTCTCGTATACGAAATTCCAACAAGCTATACCGCTATTTGATTATTGATTTCTTAAAATAAGGCGTGTTTAGCCATGGTTTAGCCTTGTTTAATCAAAGTTAAATTAAATCTAAGAAATGTCAAGTTTATTTGTCCAAGTATTTTGTCCAAGTCAAAGAAATTTTTATCTTTGATGGATTTTCGCAAATATTTAATTTTTTTTCAGTTTAAAAAATATATTTTTCTTGTATCTGACTTCCCAACTGTCCCAACTCGTGGCAAGGAAATTCCCAACTTTTCTCTTTCCCAGATTCTAGGGGGGGGGGAGGCTCCCCCCCCTACCCCCCCCCAAGGCGACGCCCCTGCTCTCGAGTTGTTGAGATGAATTTTTTCTCTAAGCCAGTTAAAGAATCTCTGGTCACTTTCCATGGAGGTTATGTTGACTTTGAGTCCCATACCAATGCCCTTAAGAACCCAGGAGGTCCGATAGGCTTGTCCACAAGGTCCATCCTTATGTGTTACGATAAACGGTTGAACCCATGGTTGTGCACAGAGAAATAAGTCTGCACTACCTTCTAATGGGTGTATTAGATCTTGTTTGTGTGGACAGTACATTAGTAAAATTAACATAAACTTTAATTATTATATGTTGACAGTCAATACAGTATAAAATTCTATTTGTCTATGATATAAGTAACAATCAGCTTATAGAATGTGCAAATTGTAATTACTCAATCACATAAATATGGCTATGGAAGATAATCTATTCTTGCAATAACCGGATAGTATGACATGTCTCATTTTGTTAGTTTTAAGCATGTGTAATATGTATTACTTAGGCTACCTAAAAACATGTTTTGTTACTGTGTATTTCAAGTTCCAAATGCTCTACTGAGTTATATATCAGCCGCAGGTGCCGGGAGGAGGTTTTATGCAGTGACAAAAGACTACAAACACGGCCTAATCTGCAATGCTAACACTTGACAAGGCAGTCAAGACTAATCTGTGTTCCGTACACATTCCCACTTTCTAAATTGTTTTTAGTTACATTACATTTTGTTTATTACTCATTTATTTATCACTTTTAGACAAATATATTAAATATATATTTTTTTCTCTCTGTCTAGGTGTATTCTGCATTAAATGTTGTAAACTTTGGTTGGTTTTGGTGATGAGATTTATCTTGCTTAGAAAAGCACTTTACTGAAAGTGGCCTGAACAGAATAGACACAGCGTTGAATATGATGCTGACTAAACTAAAAAGAGAGTTTTATCTTTTAAATTTATCTTGAAATCTGTTTAACGTAGAATGAGGTAATTTTTTAAAAGAATTATTTATTTTGTCATACTTATTTAAAGTTTTAACCACGGAAATACAAGCAGATAGTTTTTACTCAACGGAATAGATTGACAATATAAATTTTACAACAATATCAATCAATTTTATTTCCGAAATACGAGCATCAATATTTTATCAGTTGTAATGCTAAAGATTCTCAAAGACGATCCTTGCAAAGCAAAGAGTGTGTGGAGGGACCGATATTAAACAAGAAAAAATTACGAAATCTATAAGGTTCAATGAAACAATTGTACATATTTATCAAAAGGCGTAGGCCATATTGAATTATAAAACCATAATATACTGAACATTATAAGAAAACCCGTTTAAATTATGTACGCATTATTTTCTAAACGATTAATATTAGTTGGCAAAGCAATTATAAAACAAATGATTTCTGAGATAGATAAAGTTTGAACAATAAGGTCTGCCTTTGGCCATATTAAATTAACGACCGGGTGTATTAAAGTCGGTCCAAGTGCTGTTAGTTGCCCTTCCAAGAACCACAACAGGTGGTTGGAAAGAGTTTGTTGCAAATGTTGGAGCAGCTTTTAGTAAAATTAATCTTTCGCTTGTTTGTTGATTTTGAACCATTTAACTTTCCTTGATCCAAATAATTTAACTCTTAAGCATATATTTTGGCCTGATATTCATTTTCGCTAAGATAAATTTGTTGATTTAGTTTTATAAAAAAAACATTTAACTTTTGGTACTTGTTTTTAATTGTAATTCTCAATTTTTAATAAACTTTTTAATAAGTACTTATCTGTATCCAACCAAACAATAATAATTATGTGAATTTATTCCTTACTAGCTGTTGTACCCGTGCTTTGCAATAGTAACATTTTTATCTTTACATTTGTTGTATAAAATAGTTACACATCCAACAACGCTGTAAAAAAACAGTAGAATTGCACCCTGTTGGTAAACCTTAATAGCTTTTTAACGCTATTTAATATCATAGAACCAACTTGTGTAGTTGAAACAGCTGACTAAATTCTTTTATTCCTTTAAAATATAATTACTCATAAGGTTAACATGGGAATCTCCAGAGCCACTGGGGCTGAGCCCAAAAGGACTTTTGAGATAAGAATGCGTCTATATGTTAATCAGGAATGTGATCTATCATCACACCAAATTTCAGCCCAATCCGACCAGTATTTTTCGCGTTTACTTGTCACAAACATACATACATACATAAAAACTTTCTCATTTATAATATTAGTAGGACAATAGGCCTATAATAAATGAAACAACGATCACAATATGATACGTAACTTAATGATTAATGTATGAGTACACATTGTATCCGTAATTAATTCAGCGTTAGTACTATTGCCATTACTGTTTTTTGTATTGTATTAGTAAAAAAAATCAATGTTAAACGATCTAGAGTAACAGTTTTCAAGAGCACCGACCCATTTCACAATCCGTGCTCTCAATCAAACGGCATTACGGTCTGGCAGACTAAACAGTTGGACGGGTTGACTCTAATCTGGAAATCTAAAGATAAATCCAAACAAATGCTTTGCCATGTACATTGCATCCAGAGGAGATTTACAGTAATAAAACCATTCAATTCGGGAGAAAAAAATGATACTAAGATTGTATTATTAGATACCTATTAAAGAAATAGTTAACTTTAAACTTTTTTCTTTATCGTGTGAATATAGTTTTAGATAAGATGTTATAAATTGTTCATGAGTAACGCGTTAACCCTTTTCTTGTGCACCCAAACGTAACAACCAGCATAAAAATACATTTAATAACAATTTTTTAGCTAAGACCAATACATTATGAAACTTTCCAAGTTTCTTAAAGTTTTTCAGCGATTTAGGCACTGGCAAGAGTCGCACGCGTCGCAGTAGAATGAGTTATTACAGAAAGGTTAGGCGAAGGGCGCACTTTCTGAGTAATCATTCCAGCAGGATAACCATAAGCGTGCGGTCCTTTGGCTGATATATATAAATATATATTAATTCACATACCACATACAATAAAACCGCTGTGTGTGTGTCATCAGATGCCACGCCTAACTCCATGATCCCTACTATTTTAGTGATTAAAGCATAACAGACTTTAAGTTTGAGTTTTTCCTGTAAAATAATTATCACTTATGGTTTAGCAGGAGTTTATTCAAGGCTTAAATTTGCACCGTAAATTATTGTTGCAACGACAACTTACAACTTATTGGAATAAAATAATGGATTCGCATGATGAAGTTAAGTGCTTATTTAGTAGTTTATGTTATTATTCACAATTATCAAGCTGTAATTTTACGCTGAAGTTCAGTGTAGTTACCAACTAAATAAATGTGGTACGAAATTGT